CCAAGGAAGGAGGGGTCCTAGAAGCTCCTCATGTCCTAAGCTCAGTACCTCTCTGCTGTGTTCACGTTAGCACTTAGCCCTTCCACCTGTGTAGCTGTCTTGTTAGGAAACCACTTTCCTGGGGCGGGTTCTGGCACAGCCGTTACAGCGCCACTGGGGACACCCACGTTCCATATTTGCAGTGCCTGGATTTGCGTCTCGGCTCCCCTTTCAATTCAAGCTTCCCGTGAATGAAGACCATGGAAGGCAGCAGGTGACAGCGGAAGCAGTTGGGTCCCTGTCACTGATGAGGGAGACCCGGATTGAGTTCCGGGCTCTTGGTCAGCCTGGTTCAGCCCCTACCTTTCGGTGCATTTGGGGAGTGAACTGGCGAATGGAAGATCTCTGTGTCTCTCTGCCTTTCAAAAAAACAGAAACAAAAACAAAACAAAACAAAAACCACACCCCACCTCCCTTACTGAAGCACATCTAGAAAGGCCGATGTTTCAAATGTAGGATCCACACATTGCCGAAGGGCCGCTGGTTAAGAAACTGACACTGAAGATTAGGAAATACCAGAAGATCGTTGCTCCTGTTGGTTTAACGTGTTTAGAATTGGATCTGTGAAGTCTGGAGTGGGATCCAGGAGTCCATGGGACCCTGCTGAGAACCTCAGCTTGGATGCCCCTGAGCCTGCACGCCCGCGTCCTCTGATGCCAGAAGATAGCAGTGCGCTTGTCTGGGTTTCTGTGCCGCTCTCAGGTGGCCCTGCAGAACCTAGGCCCCTGGAGGACCTGTCCCCATCATGGGTGCAGGCTCTGCTAGAGGCCCCAGAGGACGGAGTCAGCCATGCAACCGTAGGGACACCTTGCACATCTTTTACAGCTCCTTATTGGAGGTCTGTCTCTGCCACAGTGACCTGGAACTTAGAAATCCTCACCACCCAAGAGCCGCTTTTTGTTTTTTAAAGATTTATTTATTTATTTAAAAGAGGCTCACTAGGCTAATCCTCCACCTTGCAGCGCCGGCACACCAGGTTCTAGTCCCGGTTGGGGCAACGGATTCTGTCCCGGTTGCCCCTCTTGCAGTCCAGCTCTCTGCTGTGGCCAGGGAGTGCAGTGGAGGATGGCCCAAGTGCTTGGGCCCCTGCACCCACATGGGAGACCAGGAGAAGCACGTGGCTCCTGGCTTCGGATCAGCGCGGTGCGCCGGCCGCAGCGCGCAGGCCATGGTGGCCATTGGAGGGTGAACCAACGGCAAAAAGGAAGACCTTTCTCTCTGTCTCTCTCACTATCCACTCTGCCTGTCAAAAAAAAAAAAAAAAAAAAAAAAAAAGAAAAAAAAAAAGAGTTACACAGAGAGAGGAGGAGATGCAGAGAGAGAGAGAGAGAGAGAGAGAGAGAGAGTCCACCCCCGCTGGTTCACTCCCCAAATGGCCACAACAGCCGGAGCTATGCTGATCCGAAGTGAGGAGCCAGGAGCTTCTTCTGTGTTTCCCAAACAGGTGCAGGGGCCCAAGGACTTGGGCCATCTTCTTCTGCTTTCCCAGGCCATAGCAGAGAGCTGGATCGGAAGTGGAGCAGCCGGGACTGGCGCCCATATGGGATGCAGGCACTGCAGGCAACGGCTTTACCCGCAATGCCACAGCACCAGTCCCTGTATTGCATTTTTTTTTTCCATTCATAGGATTGTTTATTCAGAGCTGTCTCTAGACTGTAGCCAATCTGACCCAAGCTCCATTGGCTCCATCCTGGGCATTGTGACCTTGGCAAGAATCTGCAGAGGCACCAGTGTTCCCTTAAACAGGCACCGACGAAGAGCCCGTCTCCTCGCCGTCCCCCCTTGGTCTGCAGCCACACCTTCACTTCTGTAAGTAAAAGGTGAAACTTCCTACAGTGCTGTCCACTCATTGGTGTTTTTAATGCAATCTTTTTTCTCCAAAGTTTTGTTTTATTACTGTTAATTTTCAAATTAAAAAAATATTTGAAAGGCAGAGAGAGAGGGAGAGCAAGCGAGCTTCTGTCTGCTAGTTCACTCCCCAGAAGGATCGGAGTGGGGCAAGCAGGACTTGGACCTGCCCTCAGGTGATGCTGACATCGCTCGCGGGCAGCGACTTAACTCACTGTACCACCACGCTGGCCCCTGCTTGAAAAACACTAAACAGAGCACAATGTGAATTTTAGTGTTCATGTGAGTTTGCATCTGGGCTGCTTCCCTGTAAATCCGAAAACTGTCTTCTCAGACCGAGCAAGTGTATCCAGCTCCTCCCAGTGCCCCCTGGGTGCCACCCCCGCCCCGGACCCTGGGAAGCTCAGTGAAAATCTGAAGGCTGCAATAGCCAGAACTGGGTTAACTTTTTTTTTTTTAATATTCATTTTATTTATTTGAAAGAGTTATAGAGAAAGGGAGAGAGAGACAGAGATCTTCCATCAGCTGGTTCACTGCTCAGATGGCCGCAATGGCCGGAGCTGGGCCAATCTGAAGCCACAGAAGCTTCTTCCTGGTCTCCCACGTGGGTGCAGGGGCCCAAGGACTTGGGCCGTTTTCCACTGCTATCAATTCTTTTTTTTTTTAAAAAAAGATTTATTTATTTCAAAAGTGTGGGGAGCAACTCGGACTAGACTGTTACTCGAATTAAGACTTATTTTATGCATCTGCTCTCCCACAATATGGCGCTGGGAGAGGAGGAAACAGCTTCTACGCAGCTGCCTCCAGTTCAACCAACAAGCTGCAGGACCTGCTCCTGATTGGAGGAGAGCAGCGTACTCGGCGTGTGGGTAGCAGAGTTGGGATTGGCGGAAGAGGACTATAAAGGAGGAGAGAGACAACATGCACCAGGAACATCTAGCTGAAGGAACACCTGTGCAGCCCCCGAGAGAGCCGGCTGGCAGTGTGCCGCTCCCCCGTGGAAGTGGGGAAAGTCGCAGGGGGAACCGCCCTTCCACAGAGGTGGAAGGGACGGTAGCCAACCCGGGAAGAACCAGCAGCAAACCCGGGAAGGGCCGAGCAGACAAAAGAACAACGCAGGGTCCTGTGTCGTTCCTCCACGAAGAGGGGGAGCGACACAAAAGCAGAGTTACAGAGAGAGAAATAAATCTTCCATCTGCTGTTTCACTCCCCAAATGGCTGCAACAGCCTGGCCCAGGCCCAGCCAAAGCCAGGAGCCTGGAACTCTACCTGGGTCTCCCAAGATCTTGGGGCATCATCTGCTCCTTTCCAGGCACATTAGCCGGGAGCCGGGTCAGAAGTGCAGCAGCTGGGACTCGAACTGGTGCCCATGTGGGGTGTGCACACTGCAAGCCGTGGCTTAATCCACTGCACCACAGCACTGGGTCACCTTGAATGACCTTGGTGATGTCAGCATTCCCTGTAGAAGTTGGCTGTTGTAACTCGCTCGGTCCTTCAGCCTGGAGCCTCAGTGTTCCCTTGAGTTTTGAGTTCAGCTCGGCACTTCAGAATTATTTGGGGGAATTGGACACAAAGAAAAATGAAGCTCTGGCCCCTCTCCCAGCCATTTACCTCTGAGTGCCTAGGGGCTGGGGCCCATGCACCTGTACCTAAAGCTCCCAGGTGACTCAATGGTGAGCTGGGACTGAGAATCTGTGTTAGCATTGAGATTCTCTCCCAAAAAATGTGCCTTGTTGCATCTGTTGGTGCTGCCTTGAACATTCAGCCTTCAGAGTAAAACAGGTTCAGAAAGGGTGCGGTGGTAAGAGGGAGGAGCTGACGGACAGACAGTGCAAGGGCTAAAGGGCTTGGGGGAGCGAGCCCCCCCCTCCATGTCCCCACCTTTTGACCATTGAGTTGGTCTTGGTACAGACCTGGGGGAGAGACTGGGGTCCCGGGGACAAAGCTGCTGGCCAGAGGTTGCAGGTGCCCTGGGCTGGCTGCATCTGACCGCAGACATGCTCTGTGCCTTGCGTGGGGGTCACGTGCATCAGTTGTTAACATCACACGGCAGCCTCTCTGAAGCTTTCCATGAGCGCATTCCCAGATCCGCTGCAGACATTGCTCCATAGCACGCAATGCACTTTTGAGTGTGGACTCATTACTTCTTAGATTACCCCATTCAGACGGTCATGCCTGACAAGGCGTGTGATTTAACCACACTTCCATCTGATTGTTAGGAGGAAGAACAGGTTTTGCTATTTAGGTTTCATTTTACCATTTTCACCTTTGGCTTCTCGCTCTGAGGCTGGGCTGGAGTGACAGCCCTGGTTTGGAAATCGCAGCCCCGGGTGTAGTTTTGATTTTGCTGCAGGATCTCAGGCTCTCTCTCTCTCTCTCTCTCTCTCTCTCTCTCTCTCTCTCTCTCTTTCAAAGGTTTATTTATTTAAAAGGCAGAGAGTTAGAGGCTGAGGCAGAGAGAGAGAAGTCTTCCATCTGCTGGTTCACTCCCCAAAAGGCTTTGGCCTAATCCCAAGCCAGGAGCCAGGAGCTTCTTGCAAGTCTCCTACATGGATGCAGGGGCCCAAGGAAGTGGAACAGCGGGGTTAAAACTGGCACCCATATGGGATGCTGGCACTGCAGGCTGCAGCTTTACCTGCTACGCCACAGCCCCGGCCCCATCAGGCTCTCTCTTAACTTAGCTCTGCGTGTCCTCATTTATGTAGGAAGAAGACCAAGTCATTTCCAAGGTTCTGCTTGTTGGGGTTCCAAGGAGTGAATGGCGCAAGAACAGAATGCAGATGCCTTGGTTTAAAAGCAGCTGGTGGAAAGAAGTCATTCGAAGTCAGGGTGTGCGAGGGACCACACTGGACCTCCAGCCTGGAGGGGAGAAGTGGGAGCCCAGGGCAGAAGCTACCGCAAGGCAGCCGTGACCTAACCATCCACAACGGCCAAGACAGAAAGGATGACCTGGGGGGCAGGGGCGGAGAAGGGCGCTGTGGTAGGCAGCAGATGGCGTGCAAGCCCCTCCCCACATTTAGAGTTGGCTGGTGGGAAGCAGGGAGCCCCACCCGCTTCCTTTCCTGAGAAACAGCGTGGCTTGCCGCACACAAAATGGGATGTCAGCACCTTGGTTGGTTTTAAACATGATTTTTTTTATATAATTTTTAAAAACTCCGACAGTAAAGGTCGTACTGTGCACAGGGGGACAGATGCCTTTGATGTGTCCCCTTTCATTCCTACCTTAAAACAAGGCTAAGGCATAAATTACTCTGCCGGGCAGCAGGCATGCCCCTTGTCCTTGGGGCGCCATCGGTGGTGGTACCACTTGGTCTCTGGGCTGGTGGATGAGACATTTGCCAGTGAGGCTGCCCAGGTGCCTGGAGCCTTGCACGGGCGTTGTTCAGTGCATTCGAGGGAGGGCCCCTCCGAGCCCTTCTCCCACGCACTGGTGGGCGTAGAGGGAGTGGGAGGCCCCCCTCCTAGCCTGCGCCTGGCTGCAGTGGGGTCAGTGCGCCTGCGTCAGGTGCAGCCTGCGGCCGGGCCCCGGGCATCGCGTCACCCACGTGCCTTGCTTCCCCTTCCCGTGAGGTACCCCGGAACACAGCAGCGGGAGGAGAGGGGGAGGCGGGAGGCCGGGAGCCAGGGCGGACGGAGTGTGTGGGTGGCAGGAGAGCCAGCTGCTTTCCAGGCTCAGCCGGATCCACAGCCTCCTGGGTCCCACCCCCACCCCTCCGCAGTCTCCGCATCCCAGAGTCTCCCAACATCCCTGGCGGCAGCTGTCACCAGCAAGCCCTAGGGTGCCATTCTGTCTATCCATGGGGAGCCCTGGGGGCCTGGGGTTGGGGCTGATCTGTGAGCCAGCCGCAGGCGTGGGAGGGGTCAGGAGGGTGTCGCAGGATTCCGCAGTGCTGGGCCGCTGCGTTCTGGAGCTGCAGAGAGGCGTGGCCGGTGCACAGCGGGGTTGTATTTACAGTCTTCCTCCCTGGGCTTCTTCCCAGGATAGGGATGGTGGTCAGTTCCTAGCACCTTAGTGGCTGGGGCAGCAAATGCCCTCCACGGGGGAGGGGGGGTGTTCTCCTGCCTCTAGGGAGCTGTGCTGCAGGTGTCCCAAGCCCCCCAGCAGGACAGTTTCCCTTGAAAACTGGCTTGAGTTCCATTCCAGAGGGAGCAGGTGCGTCACTCAGGAGATGAGGTCAAGTGCAAAGCCAGCTGGCGTCCTGTCCGCTGCAGCTTGGTGGGGCCTCGGATCTGGGCCTGCTCTCCGCCGGGACTGGCCCCCCTTCTACTCGAAGCTTCCTGCCCAGCCTCACTCCAGCTCTTTGGGGGCGGGGTCCAGGCCAGGCTCCCTCCTGCGCTTGGCGCTTTGAAAGAAGCCGAGCTGTGGCAGAAACAAAGGCAGAATCGTGGCGGGGAGTGGGGTGGACAGCGTGGAGAGGGCCTGCCTCCCATCTCAGAGGGCCTCCCTGGATGCCCCAGCAGCCCACCACCAGAGCCCCCCACCCCCAGCTGTGGTCTGGAGCAGAGCAGAGGGAGCCCCGGGAGTGGGGCCAGGACATGGAGCTGGCTCCCGCTGTCTTGCTGTGTGGTCCTGCCAAGGTCAGTCTCCCTCTCTGGACCTCCCTTACTTCATCTGAAACAGGAGGAGGTGGGGACCAGGAGCTCAGCTCAGAGACAGGGAGGGCGTGGCAGGGTTTATTAACAGCCTGGCCCTGTTGAGATGTTGTCTTCCCAAGGGTTGCAGCATAGTTGGAGTGCCCTCTGCTGGCACAAACCAGTCTGCCTGCCACGGCGAGGGGCTGGAGGCGGGGGAGCAGGAGAGCTGCAGGAGGAGGCTGGGTGGGGGCCTAGGCCTGCCCAGCAGTCCGGAGGCTGTGCCTGTCCCTGCCGTGTGCGGGAGCACTCACCTTCCACAGGGCCAGGACCAGCAAGGCCAGAAGCAGGAGGCCCCCCAGCGTGCTGCCCACGATGATCCAGATGGGGACGTGCGAGTCTTCCTCCTTGGAGATCTCGAACGTGACCTGCAGGGGGCAGGGGAGGAGTCAGGTGACAGCTTTGCTGCTGTGGGGCGGGGCGGGGCAGGAGAGCCAGGGTAGGTGGGGAGGGGGGTCAGCTGGCCCTCGGTGGGAGAGCTGCAGCCCTGGTTCAAGGAGAAGGCGGAGCGATGGGCGGCACACAGCCAGCCGGGCTCTCTCAGCAGCCAGCCCTGCACGGTGGACACCTGAGTTAGGTGACAAGGTGAGGCTCCTCCGTGAGACACTTTCCGCCTCTGGCCTCAGGCCACCTCGCTCGCCCAGATTCGCGTCCTACTCTGTGCACTGCTCTTCCTCAGTCTTTGTCACTTCTTGTTGCCCCCTCCCCCACATCTGCAAGTTGGTGCGCCCCTTCCTTCAGTCCTTGGACCCCTTCTTTCTCTGCAGCTGTTCCCTGGGCGAGCTCGGGGCTGGCTTCCCAGGAGACATAGCAGGCTTGGTGTCCAGGCCCGCAGCAATGGCCGGAGCCCAGGACAATCTGAATTTCTTTTACAAAGTGGTAGAAAGAGTGAGTATAACCTGGGCTGGATGATATGCCTTCATCTTGACAGCAAGCAACACCGCTGGATAACGTGACGATGTTGCATAGAATATACACACAGAGCACTAAGGGAGAGAGGGGCCCCCAGACAGGGGCTGGGGCTGGGGCTGGGGCCAAGGAAGCGAGAAAGCAGCACTGGGGGCGCTCACTCAGCTTTAACCGCCAGTGCGCTGGCCACACCCACGCTTGGCCCAGCAGCTTCAACCACCCAGCACTGGCCACGCCCACACTCAGCCCTGCAGCTCTAACCACCCTGCGCTGGCCACGCCCACACTCTCCTGCAGCTCTAACCACCCATGCGCTGGCCACGCCCACGCTCAGCCCTGTAGCTCTAACCACCCTGCGCTGGCCACGCTCACATTCTGTCACCTGCCTGCGCTCCAGCTGAATTCCAGACTCACGTGTGTCTGCAGGCTCCAAGGCAGACCCTGGGCCCCATCGCCTGCCCCCAGCCCTGTTCCTCCTGTGTCTCCTGTGCGTGTTTGCTGCTGCCATGCCCAGAGCACTCCTGGCTCATGCCTGCTCTCCCTTCCGCATCAGCAGAGGCCACTGCTCTGCCCTGCAAACACCCAGATGTGCCCGCTCCCCTGTGCCCCATCTCTGGAGCTGGCCTCCGGCTTCCTCCTGAGGCCTCGGCGCAGCAGCTAAGGCAGCTCCCTCAACTGGGAGCGCTCTGGTCACTGCACCGGCCGTGGTGCCCAGTGTCACTCAGGAAAGACGGAAGCCCTGGCCTCACCATCTCCTACCGCCCTGGCTCGCCCCCAGCCCTCAGCCTCAGCCTCCTGCAGACCCCCACCCAGCAGTCTCGGCTACCCCACGCTCTCCCCCTGCTGTCTGTTCCCTCCACCTGGACGCCCCGTCTTCACGAGTGTGCCTTCTCCAGGGGCAGCCCTTCCCTCCACGAGTCACTGCCCACCTCCGCGTTGACTGCCTTTCTTCCTGCCTAGCATGGTCACGTCGGGAGAGCAGAGCCTCATTCGTGTGGTTCTCTGCACTGTACCCTGGGTGTGGAACACAGCGGGGCTCACTCAGCACCTGCCCTGGGTGCATGAACCTCTGCAGGGCACAGGGGAGCTTGCCCTGGGCACTGACTCACCACGCAACTCAACGCAGGGCACTGCCTGTTCTGCCTAACCTTCTGCAGCCTCAGTTTCCAAATCCGAACAATGGGGTGGTGGGATGCACCTCGCAGAGCAGTGACGAGCGAGCAAGATAAAGTGGGGTGTCTGTGGCAGTGCCTGGCACGAACCCAGTGCTCAGCACTTATTCTTTTATGTGTCTTCTTTCTGTGCCCGAAGGCTGGGGCCTTGTTCTGCCTCTCCACCATCTCCTGCACAGCCCTCTCCCCCCAGGCTAGGGGTTTAGTTTGGGGGTGGCGAATCTCTTTAACAGAAAAGCGAGGCATCCGGAGGGTATAAGAGGGATTTTTATGGGGTGGGGTGTGTGGAAGGCGAAGAATTCACCTAAAAGACATGCGCTGTAGCGGGGACAGGAGCCTGTGTGTGTGAGGGGGGCCTGTTCCATACCTCCCTTCTCTTGAAGGCCTGGAAGATAACAGCATTTCCAGGTTCGGGTCAAAGGGGCTGGCTCCAGAAAGCTTTCCTGGGACCCCTCCCCACTGTGCCCCCACCTGGCTGCAGCGCCTGCACTCACCCCATATCGCACCTGTGCTTTGCTGTCATGGTCCCCTCACTTGCTGAATTCATCTCCATACCCCCCTGGGGGGGGCTGAGTTAGTAGGAATGGCAAATGAATGAACAAATAAATACAGAACACTCCTGGGGCGGGGCGCCCCCCAAGGGCAGCTTCCAGGCCTCTGCACCTGCTGCCCCTTGGCCGGGCACACCCCAAGTTACCCACGCGCCTTCCTTGACCTTGCCTGTCGCCCTGGGGCGGGGCTGGCGTTTACTGGGGCGTGGCCAGTAGGGGGCAGCAGCGTCCCGCGCCCGGCGGCGGCGCTCTCTCTCTCCAACAGAACTGGGCTTTTCTTTGGGACTTTTCTCTGATCCAGAAAAGTGTCTCTCGAAGGCTCGCCCCTTTTCTGGCCCCCGATGTCATCAGGTTTGATCGGTAACAACCTGGCCAGGGAGGGCCGACCCCAGCACCGAGACACCCCCACGCCCGTGGAGTCTGGGAGCGAAGTCCGCCCCAGACCCGGCCCCTTTTTCTTACAGCTGAGGTGGATGGGGAGGGGGCTTTCCTTCCAAGTTGCCTCCCCTGCCCCGCTTCTCAGGCACAGGGGCCTGGGCTCCCGTTCCTGCCTCCTCCCGAGTAGGATGTGCAGGTGTGCCTCCTACCCCCTGCCCCAGGGGCGGTGACGGTGCCTTGGGCACACAGCCCCTCCCCACTCTTGCATGTTCTCTCCTCAGAGGCTCACCTGTCCACAGGTCTGCCCACCTCTCCCGCTGGGACACGGGGGAGGGGGCTGTTGGGGAGCTGGGGGCAGCCCTTTCCAAGGTCTGCAGGGGCTTGGGGGTGGGGGTGGGGGTGGGGAGCACGCACCTGGCGGCTGGGGTCCTCCTCGCGGAAGATGAAGGGGCTGTGGAACTGCCTCTGCAGGGCGGCGTGGATGGTGATTTTCAGAGACCTGTACTTGAGCTGTGTAATCAGAGGGCGTCGGTCAGAAGCCGCCCCCGCCCGGGCCCCTTCCCTTCCTGCCCCCTGCCCCGCAGCCACCCCTGCCTGGCCCCCCCCCCGGGGGGGGCGGGGCCTCCACTTACCGCTTTCAGAGACTTCAACCACAGGTTCCCCAGCAGCCGGAAATGGGTTTCCTGGTTGGGGTTCAGCCTCACGTTGCAGTTGATGGAGACCACGTCAGAGTTGCTGTGGTTCTGAAAGAGGCGAGGGGGCTCGGGGTGAGCAGCTGGGCTGTGGGGGCAGAGGGAGGACGCCACGCCTGCCTGGGACCTGGGACTGCGGGCAGCAGCTCAGGCCAGCAGGGGGACGGAGGGAGGGGGAGAGGCAGAGAACAGGGGACAGGGGAGAAGTGGGGTGTGCAGGACCCGCGGGCTGGGCTGCTGTGGGATGATTGGCGGACAAATTAAGGCTGGGATCTGATGCTGCATTTGAAGTTGTGCGTGACGGCCAGCCCGGGGGTATTCCAGGAACAGAACTCAAGTTCAGCATCAAGGAATCTCTACGTTATAATTGTCATATAAACAGATGAAAACAAAACGATGCAATCGTGGCATCAGATGCAGGGAAAAGTATTTTAGGAAATGCAACCTGTGTTCGTGATAGAAATTCTCATGGCATATCCTGAGCCCAGTTAATGGGATTCACAGATCATTTCTAAAGCCCCAAGCGAGCATCACGTTCCTTTCAAATCCGGATCAAGACAGTCCTGACAGCACCAGCCCTGGAGGTCTTAGCCGGAGTAATACGGCAAGAAAAGTGACCTGTGGGGCCTGAATGGGAAACCTCGCGTTGATGGCCCAAGCAGGTGTTCAATGATTAGAAGCCGTCAGGTAGAAGCTGTTTGTGGGGCTGCCCGCCCCAAGCCTTTGCGTGAAGCATGCGTTTGGGGGAAATAAAAACTAAAAAAGCTAAGATTTTGATCTGGGTGAGGACCAGTGAGAGCGTGCCGAGGACCTGAGAACAGGAGCCTGGTTGCAAGCAGGTGGCCTGGGAGGTCGTGGGGCAGGAGACCCCCCGGCTGGTGTGGGCGGACGCCTCCAGCACAGCGGCGCCTGTGCGCCCTGCTCCCTCTTCAGATCCGGGGAGACAACCAGCCCCGGGCTCGGCTTGCGGTTCCGGGGACACTCACCAGCTGCGGGGCACGACTCAAATCCTCCTCCGTTGGGGTGGTCCGGTACTCAGTGCCGTTCCCCCACACGTTACAGGATGTGTTCACCTGGACAGAGGACACGCGCACACGGCTTCACAACCCACCCAGCCCTCAGCAGCCCAGAGATCTTTCCCTTCCCAGAGGAGGCCCAGCTGCCCCAGTGCCAGGAGAAGGGAGCCGGGGACCAGGGGACGCACGCCAGAGTGCATCTGTCTCCCGGCTCCTCCCTGAGCCTGGTCCCTGGGGGTTTGGGTACCTGGTCAGTGAGGAAGTCTCTCAGCATCAGCAGACGGTTGCCAGCCCTGGTGGCCACAGGTACGGTGATTTTCATCGTCACCCCGTGCACGGGGAAAAGGCCCAGGTTCTGGATCTGCGGCCAGAGAAGGGCAGGGTCAGTGCCCCAGCAGCAGCTGAGGGGTGGCAGACAGGCCTGGAGGGGCCAGAGCTGGGAGACGGGCCATTCAAAGGCCCCTGGGGAGCAGGGCCGGTGCTGTGGCATAGCTGGTTAAGCTGCTGTCCACAGTGCCGGCATCCCATATGGGCACCAGTTCAAGTCCCGGCTGCTCCACTTCCAATCCAGCTCCTTGCTAATGCGCTGGGGGAAGCAGCGGAAGATGGCCCAAGTGCTTGGGCCCCTGCACCCACGTGGGAGACTCAGGTAGAGTTCCTGGCTCCCGGCGTCTGCCTGACCCAGTCCCAGCTGCTGTAGCCATTTGGAGAGTAAACCAGTGGATGGAAGATTGTGTGTGTGTGTGTGTGTGTGTGTGTCTGCCTCCCTTTCTCTGTAACTCTTTGGGCCCGGGGCTCCCTTGTGGAAGATCTAAAGCTTTGCCAAATTGTTGGGGGTCGGGGGAGGCGGCATGGATGAAACTGCTCACACTGGGAGCCGGGGTGGGGGGGGGAACAGCTCCTCCTGGCTGGGGGTAGGGGGAGTTTGCTGGAGCTGGGGTGGAGACATGGCCGTCAATGCTTCTCACTGCAGGACTTCAACAGCGTGTGTGAGCGTTCACATTCGAGCTTCGACCCCTTCAAACCCCTTTGGGACCAGAGCCGTGGGGCAGGGTCACTGCCAGGTGGGAGCTGTGTGGCCTTGGCCAGGTTACTGAGCCCCTCTCGGACAAGCCAAGCAGGGCTCCAGTGTCTGCAGTCCGGTGTCCGGCTGTCGGCCTGCCCCCAGCTCTCACACAGCTGAAGGACAGTCTGATAAACTCAGCAGGTCAAGGCGCAGTGTAGCAGAGACTGCTCAAGTTCTCCTAATACGCACTACAAAAGGCCACCTTCCCAGCCTACACCTCCACCATTCTGGAGACAGGAGGTAAGTGGAATGTGATGAACTACCAGGGAGTTTCTTTAATAGGGGCAGAGTGGGGCTGCACACTCTCTTCCTCTTCCTTCTTGCTGCTTCCTGGAATGAAAATGTGATGGCTGGAGCTGCAGCCACTTTGGGCTGGGAGGTGAACCGGAGGCTACCAATCTCACGCTGAGGATGGTAGAACAGGAAAACCAATCCCAGAAGACTCTGCCAGCTCTGACCTCTCATGGTAGGTTTGAACTTCACATTTAGGTTTTTTTTTTTTTTTTGTATTAAAATTTTTACGTGGCTACAACTAATCCTCACTGACGAATCTTCCAGCCAAGAGGGGATGGGAGGCCCAGAGAAGGGTGGCGGCTTGCCAGAAGTCGCACGGTGAGGGGTGGCGGGTAGTGGCTGGACTCAGGCATGAGCAAGGCTCCCAAGCTCCCCCCCAGCAACATGGGCGCGCCTTACCGCCGTCCCTCCCTCTGTGCCCAGTCCCCTCCAGCCTCACCTTGAAGACACAGCTGAACGGCGGCCCGATGCCGTTGTATCTCTCCAGTGAGCTGTTGGCCTTGACCTCGTAGTGGCTCAGGCTGCTGCTCCTGCAGAGACAGAGCACAGAGCAGTCATGAGCTCCGTCAGTGTTGGCTACGTGGGCACGTGAGCGACAGATCGCGTGGGCAGGCACCTGCCTCCCCCTAGCCACAAAGACCAGGCTTGCTCACGTGTCCACCGGGATGGCTGTGTTGGGCAGGATTCTGGGGTTCAGTGTGACTGCCTCATGTGCAGGGGGTACCTGAGCCAGGGAGCTACTTGCACAGGGCCCTGGCCTCTAGCGGTGGCTGTGGGGTGCGGCTGGCAAGATGCCCTGGGGCCAGGCCTGGGTCCCCTTCTAGTGTGGCTGCAGAGGAGGGGCCGTGCTTGGCTTGGTGGGTGTCCCGGGCCCCCAGGGCCCAGCAAAGGGTGCGCGCTGCCTGAGGCTGCTGTCCCAGGGTCCCCCGGGGCCAGCCCACCTGGTGAAGAGGACGTCGGCTTCGTACTTGAGGTGGAAACGTAGGAGGGCAGTGTTGTCATCCTTGGTGCTGTCCTGTTCCTCGCTGTCGCTGCAAGGGGAGCCGGGCAGCCGTCAGGAGCGCACTGGCTGGGGAGTTCCCAGGGGACGAGGGCCTGGGGCTGGGAGTGGGTGGCTGCAGCCTTGCCTGCTGCCTTGGCAGGAGCTGCTGGGCTGGTATGGGGTCGGGACGGCGGGGCGGGGCGGGGGGAGGAGTTAGATTGTTTATTTATTTTTCTATCAGTTATTTGAAAGGCAGACAGAGAACGAGAAACAGACAATCAGAGAGAAATCTTCCACCTGCTGGTTTCCTTCCGGATGCCCACAATAGCTGGGGCTGGCCAGGCAGAAGTCAGGAGCCAGGAACCCCATCTGGATCTCCCACACAGGTGTCAGGGGACGCAAGCGCTTGGGCGTGGCTACTGCCTCCCAGGGAACGTGGGAGTGGGGCTGGGACTCCTCTGGTGTGGGGTTAGGGCACTGCAAGCAGGGTCTTAACCACTGAGCCAAGTTGCATCCCCACCGAGGGTGCGGTGTGGGTCTTGGCCACGGTCTGCCTGTGTGACCTCCTTGCTGCTGCCCCCTGCTGGCCATGGAGTCTCAGGGGCAGGGGCGGGGAGGGCGATGACACCTGCCCGCTCTGGCCCTGGGGGGTTGGGGGGAGACCGGAGGAGTCGCAGTGGAGTGGTTTGCTTCTGTCCAAGCTGACTGGTCGCAGCCCCTCTGCAGGCGGGGAGGACCCTGTTTCTGCCAAGGGCCATTGGCTATTTCCAACCTCACTCGCAGGCCACAGGAAACGATCAACTTGAAGATCCGCCTGCTGTGGGTGTACTGAGTTTCGAGCCCCGCCTGCGGCTGCCTTGGCACAGGATTCCCCGGGCACAGCAGGGGCGGACGTTCCCCACCCCTGCCCAGGACACTGTGCCCCAGGAGAAGGCTGCAGGGGACTCAGAGGCGCGCAGGGAGTCTCGCCAAACCCTCCCCCCTCTTGGAGCTGAGCACGTGAGCTACCAGGGCGATCACTGCGGACGCAATCATGTATGGTTTCTGCTTGCTCCTCCCCCAGGTCTGTCCCCTCTGGAGCCTTGCCCCAGGGTAAGTGTTTAGTTAGAAGGAGGATCCCCCAGACGTCCCCCACGTCTCCCCGCCGTGCTCCTCTACTACACACACCTGATTCCCAAATACTCGCATCTGTGCCCAAGGCACGACCACGCAGGTGTATTCCTTGTCCTGCGAGAATGGGACCGTGCTTTCTAACAGTGGGGAAGAGCCTGGGGGAGGCTGGAAGACATCCAGGTTACCGCACAAATTTGGTCATATGTCAAGTGCAAATTCTTCCGAACGGCACTTTGTTTAACCGCAGTGAGGGTGAGCACACCCTGGTGTGTGGAGTGCTGGTCGTCCCGTGACCGCTGAGCTGGGTTTGTGCACGTGCATGTGTGTATCTACATGTGTGCTGGCCATCCTGTGGCCACTGAGCTGTGTTCATGTGTGTGTGCACGTGTGTGCACATGCGTGTTGGCTATCCTGTGACTACTGAGCTGAGTGTATATGTGTGCATGCGGGTGTGCATCTGTGTGTGGGTATCTGCATGCATGCATGTGTGTGTGTGCTGGCCATTCTGTGACCTCTGAGCTGCGCATGTGTGTGCACGTACACATGCACATATATGTACAACACACACGTGTAACTTCACATGACACATACACGTGTAACCACACACATGTACATGGCATACACACGTGTGCACATACGTGTGCATGTGTGTGCTGAATGGCAGTATGTGTTTGCTGGAGTCCTTCTTTCTCAGCCCCCCCCATCCCACACGGGGGTGATTTGGTGAAAAAGGAAAAGTGTGCTTGCTCCAGACGCAGGGTGACTCACGGATGTCACCACGCAGCAAGCCCGTCAGAGGCCTGGGAAGCAGGCAGGCAGACAGACGCACGGAGAGGAAGGAACGGTCTCTAAAACGTGGAAAGAGTTCCCAGGAGAGAGCTCTGGGCAAGGAGCAGGACAGTTCCCAGTTGTGCCATTCCGTGCTGTGTGTCATAGAGAAGTTTGCTCAATGTCTCTGGGCCTCCCCTTCCTTCCCTGTAACTCGGAGGATGGAGTAGGGCTGAGCCCCTGCCCTGGGGGGTCTCCGGGGTGCAGGGGAGATGGACTGAGGGCAGGGAATGTGCAGTGCCTTGTGTGGGGGAACACAGCTGCTGTGTGAGGGGAGGGACTGCCCTCCCCTGACACACAGGTGGGCAGCCACGCGCAGGTGGCAGGGCCCACACCTGTGAGGGAGGCAGGACGTGGTTCCCCGGCTTGGGCTTGGGTAGCAGGGAGGGGCCTTGCTAGGAGAGGGGCAGGCCTGGCCCTGACCTGCCCGAGGCGAGCTGGATCTCCAGGTGGTGCAGGAAGACGGATTTGCTGAACTCAAAATCCAGCCGGAAGGCCACCTGCAAGGAAGTGGGGCCTGAGCTGGGGCAGCTGCAAGCCGAGCTGTGTGCACTGCCCCCCCACCCCAGCCCCCTCCCTTCCTGCCCGCCCTGCTGCTGAGGCCCGGGTGCTGGGAGCCGGCTTGGGGAGGGAGCTGGGGACGCAGCCAAAGACCACAGCTCCCGCCACTCCAGAGCTCAGCTTTGAGGCCACCCCTCTTTTCCACTCCCTCCCATCGCCCCGCCTTCTGTGTTTAACCAAAGACACTTGGGAAGCAGCAAGGCAGCTTCAGGCCACTTCTGCTGGAGTTTGGGGTGGGGGCCCTGAGGGCAGGAAGGGGAGGGTTTTGCACCACAGGATGTGGAGTCAGAAGCAAGGGGAGGGGTTGTCGGCCTCACCGCCCCTTGCTCTTGTGTGTGTGTGTGTGCGTGCGTACGCACGTGTGTGCAGGTACCCTCACAGTGCATGCCTGCCTGCCTGTGTGTATGTGTGAGCATGTACGTCTGCATGTTTGAGTCCATACATGCGTGTGTGCCCACGTAAACTTATGTGCACCACACACCTGTGTGTGTGTGTGGGGTGAGGCTGGAGAAGGCAGTAGGGCACCTGCCTCCTTGCCCATGAGCCCAATGCCAGCCCGCTGCACTGATGCCCTGTCCAGAGGTGGGGCAGGGGTCCCTGAGTGTGACCTTTGCACAGCTGACCCTCCCAGCCTCCTCCCTGCCCCACCCTGGGGACATCCCTGGAGCCTCGCACAGACCCCCTGTTGTCCTCCCAGGTCTGACCCTCAGGAGGTCCACAGGAGGGGTTGGGGTGGGAGCAGCAAGGGCTCTCCCTGTGGTGAAGGGGACCTGGGTGCCCTGCCTGGGTGGGCTCCCAGTGCTGGGGCCGGCTCCCTCATTAGGTGATTCAAAGATTGTTTCACAGGAGAAAACACCAATCGACTCAAAAGTTGCTCCAGGCCTTTCCACCTCTCCCTAGCTTGGTCCCCTATGCACTTCCACAGTTTTCTGGGCCTCCTTGGAGCTCCCAGTGCCCACCCCATTCCCTCCCCAACCCTGGCCCCCGCCTCCACCTTGGCCTTGGCCCGGAAGAAGGGGTAGCTGACGTTGCAGACTTTCTTATGGAGCCGCCTCTCCTCATTCACACACTCGATGCTGCCTTCCGAGTCGTCCTGGACAGGGTGGGCACAGGCAGGAGACATAAAGGCAGCAGTTAGAAGGGTCCAAGGCCCATGGCTGGAGCCACCCTCACCACCAGCAGCCCCACCCGGGCCACCCCTGCTGCCCATGCTACTGCCCGGAACACGGAGACCCTGTGTGGTTCGTGGAGGACACGGGGTGGGGCACACTCAGTGACTTCTTAGCACAGGAGCCTAGGCAAGGGACTCGCACACAATGCTCTGTCTTACACTGCTGTGGCCACACTGCTTGGCTGGAGTCTTTTTGCTCGTTGGTTGGATGGTGATGGTGCTACTTACGGCCCTCTGTATCCACAGGTTCTGTGTCTGTAGATTTAACCAACTGGGGATGGGAACTGTTCCCCAAAACAACTGTGTCTCGCCTAACCATGTACAGACTTTCTTCCTTGTCAGTCTTCCCCAGACAGCGCAACACGTGTGCATTGCATTAGGTATTCTAAATAACCTAGAGATGATGTGCAGTGGAGCGGAGGGTGTGCATAGCCTCTGTGCAGATACCGCACCACGTTCTGTGCGGGGCTTGAGCGCCTGCGGATCTTGGTAGGGTTCCGGAACCCATTCCCCCGTGGATATGGAGGAACAACTGCAATCGCCTCGTTCAGTTGGGATGAAGGTTAAGTGATGTGATGCCTGCAAACACGCCGGTCTAGTTCAATGCGCTGCACATTGTCATCACTCACTGAGCAGCAGGTCTTGTCATGACGGCTGTGCCTGCCCGGGCTCTGCAGTGCTGGGCGTGGGCTGGGGAAGGAGTGAGCATGTCCCTGGGCACGTGTGTGTGTGTGCACGTGTGTGTGTCTGCGTGTCAGTGCGTGTGTGTGCATGATGCAGATGTGGGTGTTTCTGCATGGTTGTGATCAGAGGAGTGTGTATTTGGCTGAAAAATGTATTCCGCCACCAGGGCTCCCCTTGGCTAGACGCAGGGAGGAGGGGGAGAGAAAGTCCGACCCCCCAGCTGTATGCCCTTCTGGGTTGGGGTCGAGTGGGCATGTCCCGTGGAGGAGGCTGGATTTAGCCGGCCACGGCCACCACCTGCCCTCTGTGGGTTCAGCACTTGCTGGGACTCTTTGCCTCCACTGATTTCTGAAAGCCCTGCTGTGTTATGAAAACAAAAGTGATACAGGCAGGGAGATAGCTAAGGGCTGAGGTCGCCAGCCTCTCCCTGCCGCCTGGTTTGCCCTGCTCAAACCACCCCCTATCTTTCTGTCTGCCACTTAGAATTTGCATCAGCCAGAAATGACCAGCATGGCTGCCGACTGCATCCTCAGAGCCTTTGGCTAATTATATCATTAAAACAGAACTACTACAGTCTTCCTAAAGGACAAGGCGAAGTTTCTTTACCAGTGCCAATACCCCTTACAGCCAGAAGCCAAATGGGGACTTCAGTCTTCAATGGATAAATTTCTCAATCATGGAGTCCTGATTCCATGTCAGTGCTCTCGCAATACCCCCGTCTCTAATTTTAAAGCTACATGGGGAATATAGAATGGTTCACGACCTTAGGAACACACACGAGGCTGTCAGCCCACTTCATCCTGTTGTATCAGATCCCTTTGCTATCCTAACCCAGGTACCTGAAGGCACCACTTGGTCCACAGCCCTAGACCTAAAAGTGCCACCTTCTGTATACCATTATGCCCAGAATCTTCGGACTCCCGGTGTCTGTTTGCCTTTGAAAGGACTGGTTCGTTCTTAGCAATGACTCAATGTTACAGCTGGACAGTTCTTCCTCAAGGCTTAAGGGATGGCCCTCATTTGTTTGGCAATGCCCTCACCAAGGAACTTGGCTCAAGTTCAAGACTGAAGCCATTCTACGCTACGTAGATGATATCTTCCTCTAGCGAGGACTCAGGTGAAAACATTCATGTCTCATTGTTTGTTTTAGAGAAACGGAACTATAAAGTTTACCCAACCAAAGTACGTGTCTCTCAGCAGGAAGTAAGCTATGTCTTCACCCCAGGAAGCTGTGCCCTCTTGATTAAACAAAAAGAAACCATACTGCATGTAGGGCTTCCACAGACGAAGCAGGCGAGGAGGCAGGGCACAGGCCTGGCTTTCCTGGGGAGCCGCACTCTGCAGCTGCCACTCCTCCTGCCAGGAGCAATTCCTGTGTGCGGGCGGGGCCAGGGAGGGGCCTCTCCCCCAGCCCAGCTGGCGGGGACCTCGGGGAGCAGCCGGTTCTGAGGTGGAGGTGGGGACAGCAGGGGTGCTGGGGGCTCCACGTGGACCCCAAGACCCATCTGAGGGGCCCCGGGATGGCCCAGCACCCGTACAGGACAGCAGTGCCCCCTAGCTTTGCTCCACCCACAGGTCCTGCCCAGCCCTGGGCACAGGCAAAGGCTAAGACAGCGGTGTGCAGCAGAGCAACACGCGAGCACCGCTGCTTGCTCCGGAGCCCCGGGTGGGCGGGGCCTGGAGGCGGGGCGGGGCCTTGAGCTCCACCACCGAACAGCATCCGGAGTTGGCTGGGAGAGTGGCTGGGGATGATCGGAGGTGAGGCGTGGGCGGGAACCAGCTCCGAGTCTTGCTAGAGCGCCCTTTCTGAGACAGCCTGGGGGCTGCACGGCAGGTGCCCGGCGTGTGGCACTGGCGGCTGCCGCGTGGCACACGTGTGACTGTGACCTTGGTTCAAGCATCTTCCTCCCCTGCTCCTGGGGACTCAGACACCCCGATGCCGATCCTGGCTGCACAGCAGAGGCACCAGGGAGGCGTGCAAGCCTGAGGACGCCCGGCCCCACCCCAGGGAGCAACAGTGGCTCTGGTGGGCAGCTGGGACACCCCGCCCAGGGCTGGAAAGGGGCAGGGGCAGGGGCGCCACCTTGTGGATGAGGCTGGCAAACTGCAGGTTGGCCGACTGGGAGATGTTCAGTGTGGTGCTGTAGGCGTTCTCGCCTCGGTTCTCCAGCAAGGCCTCCACTGCCACCCGCCGGCGTGTGCTCTCTATGATGAAAACCGTGGTGTCAAAGGACAGCGTGTAGGCGGAGCAGTCCTGTGCAGGTCTCCTCAGCACGCGCTGGCAGTACTCCCTGCGGGCGAGAGACCACGGGTTCAGGCGGGGCGGGGGTGGGGGTGGGGTGGCACTTGGCTCCCAGCTGGAGCAGCTACTGGGAGAAGCAGGGGAACGGATGGCAGAGCTCACCCTGCCCCTCAGGCCCCTGCGCTTCCCTCCACGGACTGCATTCTCTGCTCAACTCAGAGCGCATCACCTCCTCACTCATCATGTTTCCCTTTTGGTCTTGGCTGCCAGGAAGCTCGGAGCTAAATGGAGAGCCACTTCTGGTTGTCAGCCTCCACTGCTGGAATATTTGCTTCTCTGGGGCTGGTGCTGTGGTGTAGTGGATAGAGCTGCCACCCGCAGTGCCAGCATCCTATATGGGTGCTGGTTCTAGTCCCAGCTGCTCCACTTCTGATCCAGCTCTCTGCTAATGTGCCTGGGAAAGTGCTTGGCCCCCATGTGGGAGACCCAGAAGAAGCTCCTGGCTCCTGGCTTTGGATCTGCCCAGCTCTGGCTTTTGTGACCATTTGGGGAGTGAACCAGCAGATGGAAGACTCTCTCTCTCTCTCTCTCTCTCTTTGACAGGCAGAGTTAGACAGTGAGAGAGAGAGAGAGAGAAAGGTCTTCCTTCCATTGGTTCACCCCCCAAATGGCCGCTATGGCCGGTGCACTGTGCCGATCTGAAGCCAGGAGCCAGGTGCTTCCTCCTGGTCTCCCATGCGGGTGCAGGGCCCAAGCACTTGGGCCATCCTCCACTGCCCTCCCGGGCCACAGCAGAGAGCTGGACTGGAAGAGGAGCAACCGGGACAGAACCAGCGCCCCAACTGGGATTAGAACCCTGGGTGCCAGCACTGCAGGTAGAGGATTAGCCTAGTGAGTCATGGCGCCGGCCAATAAATCTTTCTAAAAGAGAGTATTTGCTTCCTGCCCTTCTACACATCTTTGGATTCATGCTATTTCTACATCCTGTCTCATGTTGTGGTTTATGTTTCTTCCATCTAAGTCATCTCATCCTTAGACAAAAGTTAAGCGCAAATCATTGCACGTATAAGACTTCAATGTAGACGAGGCTGTGCTTCCTTCTGTTTCCTCACTGGCGACTTTGTTTCTGCAGGTGTTGGACACCCTGCCCAACCTCTGTGTCTTTCCACTGCAGGGACCGGAAAACCTCGCTGTTCAAACCAAGGACCCGGGGTTGCTCAGTCCAGGGGCGCAGGATGTGCACCCGGGACTCGGCTATCCGATTTGGAGCGTGGATCCAGAGAAAGCATCTTTTTTCTAAGCAGAGTTTGAGAAAAGGGACCAGGCCAGCAGCGTTCACTTTATAGAGGAGAGGCCCAGGGGCTGGCCCAGGGTCCCTCGGGAGTCAGAGCTGGAGCCTGGCCTGCCTGGGCTGGATGTTCCGTGCCTGCTTCCCCACTACCTATATGGAAGGCGCGCAGCAAAGCACCCTGGGGGTCCTGCCAGCCAAAAGCCGCTGGCGAGGATGGGCGGGGCAGGCAGGGAGGGGCCGACTCACATGGCGGTGGGCAGGTCGCTGCGGGCGTCCAGCACAAGGTCAGGGACACAGTGCTCGTCTTCATTGCAGCCGTTCCAGAAGGGCACCTGTGCCAGGGAGAGCTCCGTGTGGGCTGCACAGGCACAGTGGCTCCCAGCGGCCACCCTTCCTGAGCCCACGGCACGGCAGTGGCTCTGTCCACCACACCAGAGACGCCCTGGCCTCGTCTGCCCTTCCCTGGACCCCACACCACCTTTTCTCTTGCTTTTGTGTTGATTCTTCCTTCTTTCAAACATGGCTCAGAAGGCAACTCCCCCAAGTCCCTTTCAGGCCCCAACCCAGCTGGGAGGCGGAGCTCCCCAATTCCCCTGCAGTAAGCATTTAATTGATCATCTACTATGTGCGTGTGGGGGGAAGTCTTTGGTGCTGGGGATACAGGACGAGGAAGACATGGCTCCTGCCCTCAGCTCAGGGGGAAGATAGGGCAGTGAACAAATAATGATAGTGTGAAATGTGCGAGAGATTAGGAAAGGTAGAAGTCTTTAGGAGGAATAGAAGCCCAGGGAAGAAGTGGCTATTCTGGCCTGTGGCTGGCCGAGCAGGATTTATGGGAGTGACAGCCGGCCATGGTTCTGAAGGATGAGTGAGCTGCCCAGACAGACTGAGGCGGAGAGGGAGGTCCAGGGGAAGGAGGATCCTGTGCAAAGGCCCTGTGGCAGATGCTGCATGGTGAGTTTGGGGAATGACTGGCACTTAGGAGCTGTTTTGGTAAGAGAGACAGGAGTGGAGGGGATGGAGAAATGGGTGGGACCAGTGCTTGCGGCGCCTTGGGGTCCTGCATTATTACTGACAGGAGTCCCTGGAGGCTTTGGGCAGGGGAGTGTCCCACCAGACACACATGCCGGAGGCTCCCCTGGCTGCTGCACGGGGCTGGACCAGAAGGGTCTGAGCTGCAGGCCGGGAGCTCACTGAGGAGGCTGCTGGAACACTCAGGGAGAGAAGGCGATGGTGGCGGGGAGGTGGTGGGCGTGGAGAGGAGGAAACAGGCGAGCTCCGAGTGGGGCCAATAGGACGTGGAGGGGGGCGGGGCTAAGGGAGAAAGGGGCCAGGGTGCTGCCATCTATGGGTTCACGCCCCAAATGCCCAAAATGGCCAACGGACGGAGCTGGGAGGCCGGAACTTTTCAATCCAGGCCTCCCACGTCAGGAGAAGCAACCTGATCATTTGAGCCATCCCCAGGGCCTCCCAGGGTCCCCACTGCCTCCCAGGGTCCCCAGTGCCTCCCAGGGTCCCCTCTGCCTCCCAGGGTCCCCGGTGCCTCCCAGGGTCCCCAGTGCCTCCCAGGGTCCCCACTGCCTCCCAGGGTCCCCTCTGCCTCCCAGGGTCCCCAGTGCCTCCCAGGGTCCCCTCTGCCTCCCAGGGTCCCCACTGCCTCCCAGGGTCCCCGGTGCCTCCCAGGGTCCCCACTGCCTCCCAGGGTCCCCACTGCCTCCCAGGGTCCCCTCTGCCTCCCAGGGTCCCCAGTGCCTCCCAGGCTCTGCATTAGCAGGAAGCTGGAGTCAGGAGCTAGAGCCAGGAATCCGACCCAGGCGCTTTCATGTGGGACCTGGGCATCTAAGCATCTCGCCCTGAGATTGTTCTCCATTTAAAAAGAATCTCATGGTATCTGTTGATTTGAAAGGCAGAGTTACAGAGAGAGAGGTCTTCCATCCGCTGGCTCACTCCCCAGATGGCCGCAACAGCCAGGGCTGGGGCAGATGGGGGAAGTCCAACAGGAGGAAGCCTGGTCCTTCCCCCAGGGACCGGCTGGGCTCACCCTGAGCACCCCCAGAGTGGGAGGGGAGCAGCCGGGGCGGGGGAGAAGGCAGGAGGCGTGGCGGGGAGGGCACCTCTGAGGGTCCCGGGGGCGGGGGATATTGCCAGTCGGCTGAGTCCTGCCCACTAGGGAGTACCGAGACTTTGAGGGTAGTGGGCCAGCCGTCATCCAGTATGGGACCGTGGTCCGGGTCCTCCAGGGAATACTCCACCCAGAAGGTCACTGGCTTCACGTAGTCAGCGGTGTCCTGGGGGGTGGAGAGAGGGCAGGGGTGAGAGAGCAGAGGGCACCTCCCTCAGCCCAAGGGCGGCTGCTCGGGGGGCCCTGGCGATGGGCAGAGGGCACACCCAGTGGGGTCCGCAGGTGCCGAGTGAGCCGCGTGGAAGGGGCTCCGTGTGGCTCAGCCACGCCCAGCCTGGCTGTGTGGCCAACCTTCGGCTCCCCTCGCCCCACACCTGGGTCCGGGCCACACCTGACCGCTTCCCGGCGCGGTTTGCACCGCCTGCCTGCCAGGCTGCCCTCCTGGCGGCATGGTGCTGCCCAGGAGGGGGCCAGTGCCAGATTCTGGGATGGACAACGTGCAGAAGGAGCCTTGTTTAGATCAAGGCAGTGGCTCCGAACCCCAGCAGGGGGCGTCACAATCCCCCGGGGGCTACCCCCTCACCTCTGCCCCAGCCAGGAAGGCTGATGCGCCCTGGGGCCATGCCTTGTCTGGGTGACCTTGGGCCAGGGGCTATGAGTGCCCTCTGGGCATTTGGAGGTTCTAGAGGGACACACATGTCACCCGCTCCTTAGCCATAAGAGGAGCTCCAGGCCTCTGTCCTGCTAGGCCACCGCTGGTCTCCCTTGCTGCCTGCCTGGCTCCTCTCTGCTCCTCTGCCCAGTTGTCCCGGCCTCTGCCCACCTCTGCCCGCCAATGCCTGTGTATCCTCTCCCCTGGAGCCGCGGCCCCCGCTGGCTGACTCCAGCTCCCAGTGCCGGCTTTTACAAGCCCACCGCCCTGCTGAAGAAGCCCTCCCTGGACATTTGTACGTGGGGGCTAAGGGGCTTTGCAGGGAGGGACTGAGGGGTGGTGGGCAGCACTGCCCCCTGCTGGCACCCTGGGACCCTAGCCTCTCCCACTGTGGATGCTGCCCCCGGTTCTGGGTCCCCTTCCCGCGGGAGCCTGAGCTCTGCGGGTGGGGGCAGCCCGGCTCACCAGGACGTGGAAGTTGATCCGCTGGCAGTGCTCCTGGCCGGCGGACAGCAGGGCAGCCCTGTTGGTAAAGCGGTCCCCGCCGTCGTCCAGGTGGGCGCGCGGTGTGTACCGCCTTTCATCCATGGTGGCGTTGTACCTGATGCCTGTAGGAGGGAGCAGAGTCAGACAGGCAGGTGCAGGTCCGCTCCCACCCAGTGTGGAGTGTGCTTCTCTTTAAAAAAAAAAAAAGCCTCTGGGGAGTCTGCCTCCTCCAGGAAGCCCACAGGCTGACCAGGGAAAAGCTTTTATAAGCAAAGAGAAAGGAAGGAACAGAGGCTAAGGGGGAGGCAGAAGGAGAAGGAGGCAGAGGAGCACGGGGGAGCAGGAGGGGAGACAGGGTGAGGGGCTGGGGTGGCGCCCTGTTGAGTCTCTGAGTTATCAGCATACCTCCTTCCCTCCCTCCACCTGCAGGGCTGGTCCAAGCTTCTGCCAGCTGGCGCCTCCCCCAAGAGGGTGTCTCTGGGTGCGGCCTGGCATGGAGACCCCACCTTGGGGGCAGCCCAGTCCCCGGGGTGGGGGGCAGGCTGGGAGGGGACGGGGCAGCCTGCGTTACCGACAGTTGCAGTCTGGAAGTGGGGCGCCGGGAAGACGGGCGTGAAGCAGAGGAAGGCGGCCAGGCACGTGGCGTCCCTGCCGTTGCGCTTGCAGTCTTTGTGGAAGATGTTGATCTTGGACGGCTCAAAGCGGAGGCTGGCGTTGATCTGGACCACGGGGCGGGACCTGCGGGAGGAGGGCCAGGGCTGAGGGCTGTGGGTGGGGGGTCTGCAAAGCAACCACGGGACGGAGAGGTAGTGCGAGGGGGCAGAGCGGGGCTCCGGATTGCGCAACAATGACTGGGAATGGGGGGTCCAGGAGCTGGTCAGCCCCCGAGGCAGCCCTGCGACTCGCGCTGGGGGCTGCCCTTGCTGGGGCCAGCGCTCCTCTGATGGCAGCGTCTGGCTGGGACCACGACAGTGAACACCTGTGCTATGCTTTCCAAGCCCAGGCCGCTGCTGGTGCTGCCACTACCAAAGACCCAGGAGCCCTGGCATGAGGAGCAAACCCCCTGAGAGGCAGAACGCGAGCCTGGGCCCTGGAGGGGTGGGACCCCCGGAGACTCCGGCTTGCCCAGGGGTGCCCAGAGGCCAGAGGACACCGCTGGAAGTGTGGCTATGGCAACAGGGACCTGCAGGAGCCTGTGGGGTGTTGCCTTGGTCCCCTACCACGGCTGTTTGTGGGGCTTCAGTGCGGATGCTGAGTGGCTGAGCAAGGGGCGGCACGTGGGGTGGATCCGGCTCGCTCATCGCCACTCTCCCGCCTCCCTGCCTCGTTCTGCTGTGGGACTGAGCCCACTCCCAGCTGTCACACAGGAGCCCACGCCTCAGGCCCTCCTTCCCAGGGAAGCCGGCGAAGCCGTCGCCCAACTGGGCCACACTCATCTCCCTGAACAGTCATGACTGCTTTCTCTGCTTAATCTTTTTTTTTTTTTTTCTTTTTGGGTGGAGGGGGAATAAAAATATTTATTTATCTGAAAAGCAAAAAGACACCTGCAAAGAAATCGTCCTTCCGCTGGTTCATGCCTCAAATGCCTGCAGCGGCTGGGCTGGGCCTGGTGGAAGCCGGGAGCTCAATCCGGGTCTCCCACATGCATGTCAGGGACTCAACTTGAACCGTCCTTGCTGACTCTCAGGATGTGCATTAATTGGCCGCTGGAATCCGAAACAGAGCTGGGACTTGAACCCAGATGGGACGTGGGCACTCAGTGGTGCATGCCTGCCCCCATGTGGCATCTTTTTAAAGTTAGATAGAAAACATGATTGCATTTATATAAGACAACAAGCAGGGTGGGGAAGGAGGGGTGGGAGTATGCCCACCCAGCCCAGGTGACGGAGCGGGAGCGAGCTTCCCCTTGTGCTGTCAATCTCTGAGTAACGTGTTTTGATGAGAAACATCTCATTAATATACATTAACAGAAAACTCAGGGGCCAGCACTGTGGCATAGCGGCGGGTAAAGACGCCACTTGCAATGCCAGCATCCCATATGGGCACTGGTTTGAGTCCCGGCTGCTCCACTTGTGATCCAGCTCCCTGCTAATGTGCCTGGGAAAGCAGTAGAAGATGGCCCAAGTCCTTGGGCCCCCGCACCCACGTGGGAGACCCGGAGGAAGCTCCTGGCTCCTGGCTTCGAATTAGTGCAGCTCTGGTTGTTGCGGCCATTTGGGGAGTGAACCGGAGGATGGAAGACCTCTCTCTGTGTTTCTCCCTAACTCCAACTCTGCCTTTCAAATAAATGAAATAAATCTAAAAAAAGGTTCAAATTATCTTTCTTTTTTTTGGCACAAAAAGTAGTCAATGCACGGTAAACTACATGGGCTTTTAAGGAAGCATTAAAATGAGAACTTGGAAAAAGGAAACAAGAAGATGGGGCACTGGAAAGAAAGAAATCTTTGTGTCACGATCACATTCTTGCACCAACGGGGGAAGGAAAGCTCCCCCGGCTGGGAAAACCATGCTCAGCCCGGTGTCGCTCCCAGCAGCGCAAGAAGCTGAGGCAGGGGGAGGCCCAAGCAGTCAGCACTCTGGGGCTAAATTCCAAGAGGGTTTGAAGGCCCTGGACATCGGTGGAAAGGGGAATTTGAGGGGCCGGCGCTGTGGTGTAGCGGGTAAAGCCGCTGCCTCCAGTGCTGGCATCCCATATGGGCGCCGGTTTGAGTCCTGGATGCTCCACTTCTGATCCAGCTCTCTGCTGTGGCCTGGGAAAGCAGTAGAAGATGGCCCAAGTGCTTGGGCCCCTGCACTCATGTGGGAAACCTGGAGGAAGCTCCTGGCTTAGGATCAGCGCATCTCCGGCCGTTGCAGCTATTTGGGGAGTGAACCAGTGGATGGAAGACCTCTCTCTCTCTCTCTCTCTCTCTCTCTCTCTGCCTCTCCTTCTCTCTCTGTGTAACTCTGACTTTCAAATAAATAAATCTTAAAAAAAAAAAAGAGAGAGAAGGGGTATTTGGACCTCAAGATCACGCACAATGAGTCTGTAAGAGAAATCTGTCGTTGGGACAGGATAAGAACAGGTGATGACAAGGGACAGGAACGGGTCCATGGTGGCCCTCAAGAGAGGCGGAAGTGGACACCAACCACAGAATCACAGCGTTGCCCAGGGCGCCCACCGCCAGGTCCACAAGACCATCCTCGTTGAGGTCCAGTTGCCCATGGATGCTGCAGCCAAAATACTGGAGGCCAGGAGCCAGCTCCGCCGCGGCGATTCTCTGCGGGCCAGGAGAGAGAACTCAGGGCGCGGGTGCGGGCATGGCGGGAGGGGCTCTGCCCGGGCAGAGCCCAGCACCCCAGCCCCAGCTGTCTGCTCTCCTGCCTGCCATGGCACTCCAAGTTCCCCCAATTCAGGTCATTCTTTCGTGTTAAAATGTCTTGTCTTAGAAGAGCTGCCCACTGTGTGTAAATACATATTACCTGTCAGGTCACCTGTAATTATTAGACTATCTTAAAAATTTTTTTTGACAGGCAGAGTTAGACAGTGAGAGAGAGAGAGACAGAGAGAAAGGTCTTCCTTCCGTTGGTTCACCCCCCAATGGCTGCTATGGCTGGCGCGCTGTGCCGATCCAAAGCCAGGAGCCACGTGCTTCTCCTGGTCTCCCATGGGGGTGCAGGGCCCAAGCACTTGGGCCATCCTCCACTGCACTCCCGGGCCACAGCAGAGAGCTGGCCTGGAAGAGGGGCAACCGGGACAGAATCCGGCGCCCTGACCTGGACTAGAACCTGGGGTGCCGCAGGCAGAGGATTAGCCTAGTGAGCCGTGGTGCTAGCTATCTTAAAATTTTTTAAAATGCATTTATTTTTATTTGTTTGAAAGACAGATACAAGATAGAGATAGAAATATACATATGGGTAGATAGATGATAAATAGATAAATGATAGAAACCTCCCATCTCCAAGAGTGACTGCAACAGCCTGGGCTGGGCCAGGCCGAAGCTGGGAGCCTGGAATTAAATCTGGATCGCCCACGTAAGTGGCAGGGACCCGAGTAACTTTGGCTTCTCAGAATGCACAGGCAGGAGGCTGGGAGGGAACCAGAGCTGGGACTGGAACTCAAGCACTCCAATATGGACCGCAGGTGTCTCGGGAGGCATTTTAACCACTGTGCTGCGTGCCCGCCCCTAGAGGCTGTGTGGCCAATAAAACATGAGCCTGCATAGGGCTTGAAATGGGGCAGTTTTGGAGGGAGGGTACCCCGGGGAGTGATGGGAAGGTCCCGGGACAAATGGCCTGCGTTAGAAAGTCTCTGCCAGGGGCTAAGCCCATGGTGGGGGCGCAGGGAGTGCTGGCTCCAGTCCCAGCTGCTTTGCGTCTGATCTGGCTTCCTGCTAATTTGCCTGGAAGACAGCAGGTGGTGGCCAAGTACTTGGGTTCCCCGCCACCAACACAGGAGACCAGGATTGAGTTCTGGGCTCCTGGCTCCTTCTGCTTGGACCTGCTCTGGCTGTTGTGGCCATTTGGGGAGTGAACCAACAGATGGAAGATTCTTTCTCTCTCTCTCTCTCTCTCTCTCTCTCTCTCTCCCTGTTGCTCTGCCTTTCAAATAGATGGCTAACATAAGAAATAAAATTAAAGAAAAAAAAAAAAAAAACAAAACAAAGAACATCTCAGCTTGAGACAAGAACAACCAGGATGAACCGGAGTTGCCTTCCTGGGCGTGGACACAGAGCCTGGGGGCCACGCGTGAGCTCCCAGCGGTCTGCGCGCCTCCCTGACTCTCCCTGGGCAGCTGTACCTGCTTGGGCCTCTTCAGGACGCCCCCGGGGAAGCCGTGGAAGATGTAGATGGCTCCCCCGTGGCTGTCCTCCAGCGGTGCTCCCACCACCACGTCGTTGTAGGAGTCCTGGTTGAGGTCTCGGACGGAGGCGATAGAGGACCCAAACCGTGCGTTCTGGTAACTGTGTGAGTCCTTCAGCGTCCCGTTGTAAACAAACCGATTCTGCAAAGCCGGGCGTCGGGGAGAGGCTCAGGGCGCCTGGGCCAGAGCCCCCAGGGTCATGGTCGCTGCCCACCCCCACCCCCGCCTGTATGCGCTGTCCCCTCCGTTTCCCCAGCACCCCATCCTGTTCAGTGACAGAGGTCCCTGGTCCTTCCCCTGGTAGCCCCGTTTCCCCAGGCAGGGGTCAGGTGCCCCGCCCCGCCCTCCTCAGTACCTGTCTCAGGCTGTACACCTTGCCCCGCCCCACCCCGCTTCCGGCACCTGTCTCAGGCTATAGAGGTACACCTCGCCCCGCCCCGCCCTCCTCGGTACCTGTCTCAGGACGTAGACGTACACCTTGCCTCGCTCCCGGCCCTCGCTGAAGTACATGGGGGCGCCCACGAGCAGGACGTCGGTCACTCCGTCGTCGTCGCTGTCCACCGACGTGATTTCACTCCCGAAGTAGGAGCCTATCTGTGGCACACGCGGGCAAAGGGGAGCGGGGCTGGGTTCCCGCCTCGCACGGCCACGAGCCCCCAGGACCACCCCTCCGCTCAGAAGCGCATAGCCCCTTTGTCGGGCCGCTGGCTCCCTTCCTCCCGCAGTGGGCATGCCTGCCCTCAGCGCGGCCTTGGCCTCTTCCCCTCCCTTCTTCCCACCCCCTTTCTTCTCAATGTTTAATTTTTGCGCTGGCCATTTATTTTGTTTGGAAGTCATATACGATAATGACTAACAAAAGGGAAAAAATTTTAAAAACCCAAAAAGATAAAGAAAGCCAAAGTTACTGATTTCCTAAACGTAACTAAATTAGTGGGTTTTCTTCCAGTCTTTTTGTTTGTGTGTACGTTTCCATTGTAATAAATCGAGGACATACTACATGTATAGCTTGTATACTGACTTTGAAAATCAGAGAGAGAGGGAGAGAGGGATGGATCTCACTCACTGGTTCATCACCCCAGATTTCTGAAATGTCTGGGGCAGGGAGCTAGAGATGCAACCAGGGTGTCCCATGTGGGTGGCAGGGACCCATGTACTTGAGCCATCACCTGGTGGCTCCCAGGGTGTGCAATCCGCAGGAAGCTGGGTGGGAAGTGGAGGAGCCGGGTCTCTAACCAGGCTCTCTGGTATGGGGTGAGGATGTCCCAGGGGGGCGACTTAGTTGTTAAACACTGCTGCTTGTCCAGTTTTTAATAGTGCAAGTCCTCTGTACTCGTATCTTGGATGGTGATATGCGTTAGAGATGGTTAAGGGATCCCAAAGGTTCATGTAATGGGGCTTGGTGCCCAGGGTGGTGATGTGAAGAGGTCAGGTGGGACCTTTAAGGGGGGAGGCCTAGTTGGGGTCGTGACATCATCGAGGGTGTGGCCTGGGAAGAGACTGACAGTTCTTGTAAGAGTGCATTACCCTGCTCTCTGGCCATGTGAACCTTCTCTCACACACGGAGCCAGAGGCTGGCACGGTGCCCTTGAGCCTCTGGAACTGGGAGCTAAATGAACCTCTTTTCTGGATAAAGTACTCAGCCTTAGATACAGCCTTAGATACAGCCTTGATACAGTAACACGCAATGGACTAACAATGGTGCGTGGCGACCCCTGTGGGCGCCTGAGCACCTGCTGAGTTCTTTCCTGCCTCAGTGCGGCGCTGCCTACCACCCCCATCCCACCAGAAACTGAGGGGTCCTCCCTGGTCCCACCTCCCACCTCTCCCACCTGCTCAGCGTGCCTCTGTGGACCTGCCTCCCTCCGCAGCCTCTGTCCCACCCCTCCTGCTCCCAGTGCTGCACTCCTGGCCCCTGCCCTACCAACTGACTTCTCTCCAAAAGCCCTAGGCCCTGGCTGGGTTCCTCTGCACCCCCAAATAAATCTTGGCCACCCTTCGGGTCTCTGCTGAAGGGTCCCTGCCTGCCAGGAGCTGCCCCTAACCCTCTCTCTCTCCACTCTGTGCCCGGTGCCCCCTCAATGACTCCCCAGCCCCTACACTTCCCCCACCAGGCCCGACTCCCTCCACTGGCAGCCTCAGGAGGGGCGCCGTGCCTGGCACACAGGAGGTGCATACTAAATGCTTATAGGGTCCCTGGGTTGCCTGGGAAACTGGAAGGTGCCCTGGCCGGGCTCAGGCTCTGAGTGAGAAAGGGGTAGGAGAACACGCGGGAGCCCCACACTGCTGCGGGGAGAGAGAAATGGCCTCATTATGCAGGGAAGGAATGCGAGTGGCTGGCCCAAGGTCAGACGTCTGGGCCCTGCCAAGCTGGGGCTGTCTGATGCCCGGGCTCATGACTCCTGGAGGAGAGTGTTCCAGAACACAGCCATGCTCAAGCATCAAAGCTTGTAACTGAGGAGAAAGATGAACGAGAGAGAGAGAGAGAGAGAGAGAGAGAGGAAGAACTCCTGAACACGGTGCGGGGAGAGGGAGACGCTCCTACAGCCGGAGCCAGGCAGGCAGGGGCGGGAGAGACGGGTCTCAGTCTGCGGCCTCAGCTATGTGGGTCACAGTGATTTGGAATCCACTTAATTCAGCTGCCTTCAGCACTGTGGTTTCGCGTTCGGATGTTGGAGGAGGAACCGGCTAGGAAAAATGTCCTAAAACCATCAGCAAATTCCCTCCAGCTCTCAAGGTCTAGTGCTTGATTCCAAAAGTGCCGGCCCAGGGTGGGGCACGGTGTGGGCAGACCCTGGAGTGCCAGCGCCCGTGGGGTGCAGGAAGAAGGACGGCAGAGTTAGACCCACGAGGACACCATCCTCAGTGTGACAAATGCAGCAGAGGCTCTGGGGAGCTGAGGACAACAATGAGGGCCAGACTGGGCTCTGCCGGGGCCCCGGGGGTCTGCATGATGCCAGCCTGGAGGAGCCAAGGTCAGGATCAGCGCCATATGCCAGTCCCACCCAGAGGCCAGGATTCTTAACCTGACCTCGCCATGGGGCTGCCGCATGGCTTCCCCTCACTTTTCCTCGCCACTAATGTCTTATTTTCTGATCTCTTCGCCGCCACCAACTCTGTTCATGGCTCCCAGTTGGAGGTCTAGCCTGAGCCACTGAGCACCACGGGCCGGGTGCCAGCCCCACGCCAGGCAGGTGTCGGCACCATCTCCTCCCAGGAGCAGGGTGGATGTTGGTATGGAGGCCGCGGTGAGTCCGTGGCACCCTGCTGTGGGTGGGTGGGTGGGTGCAGAACTCCGGCCACTTTGGGCAGCACGCTGGCCCCTCTAAGATGCCCGCACAGGGGCAGCCCAGGCTGGATGGCCATGACCTAGATGCCATCTGGAGCTCTGGAGTGAGGGGAGGGGGCTGGTGGGAAGGAGCAGAGGTCTAGCACTTGCCCTTCCCCCAACCCCAAGACAAGAGTTCCAGGAAAAGTAGGCAAGAAGTTCTTCTGGGATCTCCCTGCTGGAGGAGGGACCGGGCGTGGTGCTGGGGGAGGGGCAGGCTGGAGCACCTGCAACCTGGGTGCCAATGAGGTCCATGCTCCCCATCAGGAGGGATGCTTGTAGGTCAGGGGCCTTCCTGCGGAGAGGGAACAGGTGAGTTCCAGGGGCCCCTGGGCCACCTGTGCCCGCTGCCACTCCCTGTGGGCTGCCTCCCGTCTTCCCTGCCCCAGGCTCCCCCGCCTGTTACCTGCTCGCCGCGCAGAGCCTGGTGGATGGTGAGGTTCCGGTTGTTGTGCATCGTGAACAGGATGACTTTGCCTGTGTGGTTGAACCGGGGGGCTCCGGCCACGTACACCCGCCCCTGCCTGGAGGACACGACCGATGTCACCGTGTACCCTGCCACAGGAGGAAACAGGCTGGTCTCTGGCGCCTTGTCCTGGGCAGGCCTTGCCTGGGCCTGGCTCAGGGCTTGGCTCCCCAGAGGACGGGCCTGGGACGGAGGTGGCTCCGGGGCAGGCTAAGCAGGTGCGTTCATTGTGGGTGGCGGTTCCCAGGGACGGCTGGGCCTGGGACACGGGTGTGGAGGGTGGGGCGGACTCCCTGCACCTGACCCCTGCTGGAGGAATAAAGGAAGCCATGGAGGGCCATGAAAGGGAGCTGCCAACCTGGAATGTGTACGTCCCAGCCCCAGCTCATGGGAGCAGTGCGGACCGAGCCACACTTCATTCCAGACTGGGCAGGCCCCGCCAATCAGTGTCCACGCTACGTCCCCACCTCCTGCTCCGTGTTGGCCCCAAGTTGCTCTACTCCTGGAGTCTTGGGGATTCTTGCAGCCCCAAGGCTTTGTACACTAAAAGGAGGAAGCTCCCAGGCTCCTGCCGGTCCCCTGGCCCCTGCCCTACACACCTCACTGGAGAGGAAGAAGCTTAAGCCCCGAGGCTCCTTTGGAAGGGCCCCCAGCCTGTGCTGTGCTGTGGCTGAGCGTGCGGGTCCCCGGAGGTGAACGTGCAGTGACCAGAAGTCTCACTTCCTGCCAGCCGATACTGGATGCTGGATCCCGACTTTGAGATGGGCACCCGGCTTTGTCGGCAGTTCCTGAGCTGCTTCCGGGGAGATCAGTGTGTCCTTCTGCTGTGTGTGTGTGTGTGTGCAGGGGTGCACCTATGCACATGTCCTGTGTGTGCAACACTGGCACTTGGGTCACACCTGCGGCTCCCAGAGAGGCTGTGGGATGGGTAAACTAGCGGACTCAGTGCCCAGGAGCGTGGTGGGTACAGTAGGGGGCGCTGCTCTGGCTCCCCGCACACTTTTGACTCTTGGAGGTGGATTCTGGTCAGTGGGGCCTCCGAGGTCCAGGAGCCCAGGGCAGTGAACTTAGAGCAGCCGCAAATAGGTGGTGGTGGTGGGCTCAGCCTTGTGGACAGTGTGAGGGCTCTCCCCAGCTGGGCCCGCAGGGACACTCAGTTGGCCTTGGACTTGCAGATTTCTCCAAAGGAGGGAGGCTGGGCCAGGCCCGGGGACGAGGGTCCCGGCAGCGGATGGGGGCTGCCGCTCCGAGGGCGTGGAGCTTCCTGCTCTCTAGCCGACTACCAGCTGGCTGTGCCTGGGGTTCCCTTGCTGGTTCTTTGGCGCATGGGCAGGGCTCTTCGGGAACTGGCCCAGCCTCCCTGGGGCTGGGTGAAGGAATGGGGGCAGAGCCTGGCCTGAATCCAGGTGAGCCAGGCCTCTCTGTCTCCTGGCTCCAAAACTTCCTCTCTTCTCTGCCTGGGGAACCAGGCGGTTACTGCCCCAGGGGAGAGCCCAGAAGGAGGAGGTGGAGGGAAGGTGTGGGTTCTCCCAGGACCTGCCCAAGGCAGTGACTGGGGTTAAGGAGTTACAGCTGGGCTTCCTGGAGTGGGGGAGGGGTCTTTCAGCCTGGCTCTGCCCCTGCTGGGTCTTCTGGGAGGAGCCGGAGGCTAGCTGTGCTGGGCCAGGTGTGCCCTCACTCAGTTACCTTCAATAGCTCCCTACTGCCAGACCTCTTAGCCTGGCATTCAAGGCCTCCTGCTGCAGCTGTCCTAACCTGTGTCCGGAACCCAAACTGTGTCCAGAACCTGCCAGCACTCCCCATCCCTCCCTCCTTTGCTTGGCCAAGCGGAGGCTGTAGCACACACCCAGTGGGGCCCCGCATGTGCCAGCCTGCTGCCCACGGCCTCCTGCATCCTTCCCCCACCACAAGCGGCCCTGGGACACGGCTGCTGTCACCTGCCTTGCTATTCCGTGCTTTGGGGCACCCACACCTCAAAGTGATCAGTGCTTGCTTCCTCGCCTGCAGGGCAGGGCTCAGCATTTGGGGGGACCCAAGAACATCCAACCGATGCTAGAGAAAGGGGCACTGGCCTTTACCCTGTCTGTGTTTTCCCAGCGTGGGCGCCTTTGGCCATGCAGGGACTCCAGCCTCTCCTCCTTTACCTGTGCTGTGTCCCAGCTCTTGCTACTCTTGTGCGAGGGTTATCTGTGCACAGGTGTCTCTGCCGCCCACCGGCCGGGAAGCAGCCCGAGGGTGGGGGCCGGGACCTGTCCACCGCTGCACCTGACAGTAGGTGCTGTTCTGCACAGCCTGGGTTTAACACCTTGAGCATGAGAGGGAGCTCGGGCCCCAGGGCCGGGGCTGCAGGGAAATTTCTAGAGCTCTACTCCTCTGAATGTTGTCTCATAGCTCCCAGATTCCAGCATTTTGCACTGTGCTCAGCTGAGGGTCCCAAGGTTGGGGGATGGAAGTGGGGGTGACCATGGTGGGGGCAGCACCGTGGGCCAGGTATGAGGCTGAACCGCTGAGGGATGAGGGCAGGACTGGGATGGTGCTAAGCTCGAATGGCCGACATAGTCTGGCGGCAGCAGGTGCAGCACAGTTCGGACATGCAGGGGCGGCCTGTCGTTTCCTGATGTGCCAGGCATGGGCGGGGCCATGATGGACAGGAAACGGTGCCTGACTCCAGCACCCGGGTGGAGCGCTGAATCAGCACTCTGCCCCCCACCCCCACCCCGCTGCCCTGTTCGCCCCCAGCCGCCAGCCTCCTCCCAGGGCCTGGCTCGTACCCAGGTATGCGCCGTGGTTCTTAAGCTCCTCGGGGAACTCCTTCAGGTAGGACTCACGGTGCGGGATGACCTTCCCGCCGCTCGTCTCCTTCAGCACAGCTCCGTTCCAGTCGTAGGCGCCCACGGCTCCCAGCAGAACCCCGTCCTGCCATGGAGGGGCCACACGTCAGCTCCCGTCCCCGAGCCACACCTAACTTCCGGGTGGGACTCTTGGCTTTGCAATGAGCTGAGGAGACCTCATTCCATCCGTCGTTAGCACGAGATAGGTCAAGTTGATCCCAAGGAGAGGAATTTAGGAAACAGAGAATGTTCTAGAAAAAACTGCAAATCCAGCACCAAACCTCTATTCCCCCGCTGGGTTACAAAACTCCTCTAGGAAATCTCTCATTGCCACCCCTTCCTTCTGCCAGCCCTTGCTTGGCTCTGGGGAGATTGTCCTTGCCATCTTGGATAAGAAAGGAATACTCAAGACAGAGAGCAGCAGCTCATACGTATCAAGGTGGTACATCCAATCAGGGAAAGCCACAGCTGGGTTTCTTTAGACTGCCATGGAGGCCAGCAGAAGCCGTGCGAGGAAATGAGGTTTACCCAGACATCTGCAAGACAAGGCAGGGTCAGGCAGGGGAAGAGCTGGAGGGGAAGCACTAGAAAACACTCATGCAAAGGTCCTGAGGCTGGCGAGAGTTTAGAGCTTCTGTTTGGTGGGGCTGGAGCAGTGAGTGAGAGTGGGCAGAGAGGCTGGAGGTAAGGCCAGACAGGTAAGCCAGGGTCCCATCTCTGACGGTCAGGTCTGAGAGATCCCGGGAAAGACGGGCGGATGTATGAGCCCACGGAAGGCGGGAGAGACCCAGCGGGCTGGGAAGGGCAAGTGTGTGCAGGTGGGAGACAGGGAGGGCGGCTCCCAAGCCCTACCTCCACCACATGGGAGGAAAAGCCCGTCTGAGACATCTCCAGTCCAAAGGAGGTTTCGTTCTTGTTGGTGCCTGAAACAGAGGGACGGAAAGGCGTCAGCTCCATGCCTAGCTGCTTAGCGCAGGCCGGTGCCTGTGTCCCAGGGGCCTCTTCCATTGGGGCGGAGTCTCCTCCCCACCCTGCAACACCATCCTGATAGCCTGGTTTATTTATTTATTTTTAGAAAGGTTTTACTTAATAAATATTAATTTTATAGGTACAACTTTAGGACTACAATGGTTCTTCCCCCCATACCTGCCTTCCTACCCCCACTCCCATCTCACCTCCTACTCTCTCTCCCATCCCATTCTTCATTTAGATTCATTTTTCATTATCTTTACATACAGAAGATCAACTCTATACTAAGTAAAGATTTCAACAGTTTGCACCCACACAAGTATAAAGTACAGTTTGAAGACTAGTTTTACCGTTAATTCTCATAGTACAACTCATTAAGGACAGAGATCCTACATGGAGAACAGGTGCACAGTGACTCCTGTTGTTGATTTAACAATTGACACTCTTATTTATGACGTCAGTGATCACCCAAGGCTCTTGTCATGAGCTGCCCAGGCTGTGGAAGCCTTTTGAGTCCACAAGCTCCGACCTTATTTAGACAAGGCCATAATCAAAGTTCTCCCCTCCCTTCAAAGAAAGGTACCTCCTTCTTTTTTTCTTTTTAATTTGACAGGTAGAGTTTTAGACAGTGAGAGAGAGAGACAGAGAGAAAGGTTTTCCTTTTCCGTTGGTTCACCCCCCAATGGCTGCTGTGGTCGGTGTACTGCAGCCGGCGCACCGTGCTGATCCGAAGGCAGGAGCCAGGTGCCTCTCCTGGTCTCCCATGCGGGGGCAGGGCCCAAGGACTTGGGCCATCCTCCACTGCACTCTTGGGCCACAGCAGAGAGCTGGACTGAAAGAGGAGCAACTGGGACTAGAACCGGGCACCCATATGGGATGCCAGCACTGCAGGCGGAGGATTAACCAAGTGAGCCATGGCTCCTGCCCCCAGGTACCTCCTTCTTTGATGGCCCGTTCTTTCCACTGGGATCTCACTCACAGAGATCTTTCATTTAGATCATTTGTTGCCATAGTATCTTGGCTTTCCATGGGCTTTTTAGCCAGATCTGAATGCCTTAAGGGCTGATTCTGAGGTCAGAGTGCTGACAGCCTGCTTTGTTAGGTGGACCATGCACCTACTCGGTGGCCACACGTGAGCCATCCACTGCTTTGTGGAAAGGGCTTGGGACCAGTTAGGTTCCAGGGTGCAGCTACTCCAAGCCTGTTAAAATGGGGAGGGAAGGGGCTGAAGAAAAAGTGCATGGTGGTAAATAGTGTGCATTGCTGGCAGCAGATGGAATTTTCCAGCTTGTTCATTCCTAGTAATCACCAGATTTGGTTGCAGTCGCCAATGGATGGTTCCTGAACCTCAGATCCACCCCCAGAAGGGAGGTCTGGCCTCTGCAGCGCCCCCCCCACCCCCACTTGTGCAGGATAAGCTCCTCCCCCTGGAGGCTCCCTGCACATGTCCTGGGAGCTCACGTCCTCGTCACTGAAGGTGACTGCCATGGAGAAGAAGCGCGCTGACCTGGCTGTTTCAGTTCGGGTGGGAGCGGCACAGCTCACCACACACAGTTTGTACTCATAGATCCTTGCTCTCGAGGGCCATTTTTGTCTCTTTCCGTGCGGCTGCAGCTGTCGATGGCAAAGCACTGGGGACTTCTCAGGCTTTGGGACACTGACATTCTATAATCCTCCCCTCTGCCCAAAGCCCTGTATGGAGAGGGCCCACTACCATACTCTAGGGTGCAGATGGGCTCTGCACAAATCAAAGATGCAGCTCAGGGGCCGGTGCTATGGCATAGCAGGTAAAGCTGCCACCTGCAGTGCCGGCATCCCATACCTGCACCGGTTCGAGTCCCGGCTGCTCCACTTCTGATCCGGCTCTCTGCTATGGCCTGGGAAAGCAGTAGAAGATGGCCCAAGTCCTTGGGCCCCTGCACCCACATGGGAGACCCAGAAGAAGCTCCTGGCTCCTGGTTTTGACCTGGCCCAGTCCCAGTTGTAGCTGTGCAGTGGATGGAAGATCTTTCTCTCTGTCTCTCCCTCTCTTTGTCCGTAACTCTGCCTCTCAAATGAATAAGTAAAATCTTAAAAAAAAAAAAAAAAGAAACCCAATTCCTTGAGCCATCACAGCTGCTCCCGGAGTGTGCATAGCAGGAAGCTGGAGTCAGGCTTGGAGGCCGGACGCAAACCCCAGCACGCTGACAGGGGCCGCAGGAGTCTTAGCCACCAGACCGAACCTTCGTTCCAGTTCCCGTGAACTTCGCGCAGTCCCCTGTGTCTCTGGGGAGGGCTCTTGTGAATCCACAGTGCTCTGTGGGACTGGATTCTCTGTGGGTTTTACCTGGCACAAGCCCAGGACGGCCTAGCCCCTGCCCGCACCCGCTGCTCACCTTCCAGGCTGAAGATCCTGTCCCCCAGTGCGTCCACGATGTCCTTCAGGGCCGCCTCGTCCGTGACATTGAAGAAGTGCTTGTCATCGGGGTCGCTGGCGATGTATTTGATTTCATTTAGAAAAGTTTCCGGGTTGATGCCCCTGCGGTTGTAGTAGCCCAGGACCTGCCAGGGGACAGGGGCAGGGGCGACAAACCGGGACATGGCGCAAATTTCCCCACGTGGCCCCGGCCCTGACCCCGGGGGGCTGCAGTGTGGGCCGGAGCCAGGGCTGCACCGCGGCCACGAGCGTTCCTGGGGTGCCCTTTGCACTTTGAAACTGAGTCTCGGCGGCAAGGCGAGGCCCCAGTGCCGAGCGAGGGCTCTGCGAGGCGGGGACTTGGGGTGCTCTCAAGTTTGAGATTCAAGACCCCCCACCCGCCAGCAGTGGGAGAGAAACCCCCCTACGACTCTTGCGGATAGCCCTGAGCAGGGCTGGCAGGAGGTTCCTAATTCTTCGTTTTTGGGAGGCTCCCGGTGGTGGTGGTTGGGGGCAGCCAGCAGCCCTCGGGCGGGGGCGGCACTCACGGCCACTGCGTATCTGGTCACGTTGTCCCTCTCGCTTTGCCGGATCACCTTCTTCAGGTCAGGGCTGTCGTGGGACTCCCCGTCCGTGATGACAATCATCACCTTCTTGGCTCCTTTCCTTCCACCTTTCTGGAAAGCCTCGGAGCTGGGAGGAGAGCACAGGGCGGGCTCCCTGGAGGAGGCGGTGTGGTGGGGCAGCCCCTGGCCGCTCTTCCAGAAACCCAGACCGAGGCCCCTGGGAGAACCTGCAGGCGTCGCTGGCTGGGCTGAGATGCCCAGGCTGCCTCCCAGGCGGGTTTTGCACCTGCTCATCTTTCAGGCTGACTTTGGGGTCTTGGCCTTGATGGTTGGGGTGGGCAGAGGAGATGAGGAGGATGTGGGAGGCGAGTGCAAGGACAGAGGGCAATTTCTGGAGGAGCTAAGTCAGTTGTTCAAAAATCCAGGTGCCATGCATCTGGGAAGGCAGAAGATGGCCCCCAAGGGGCTGGAGCTGTGGCATAGCAATGGGGCACCAGCATCCCAAATGGGTGCCGGTTCGAGTCCTGGCTGCTCCTCTTCTGAACCAGCTCTCTGCTATGGCCTGGGAAAGCAGTGGAAGATGGCCCAAGTGATTGGGCCCCTGCACCTGTGTGGGTGACCCGGAAGAAGCCCCTGGCTCCTGGCTTCGGATCAGCCCAGATCTGGCTGTTGCAGCTACCTGGGGAGTGAAGCAGTGGGTGGAAGACCTCTCTCTACTTCTTTCTGACCCTGTCTCCTGTAAGTCTACCTTTCAAATACATAAATAAATCTTTAAAGACAAACAAACAAACAAACAAAAAAAGGCCCAAGTACTTGGACCCCTGCCTGCTACTCATGTGAGAGACCAGGATGGAATTCTTTGCTCTTGGAGGTGGTCTGGCCCAGCCCTGGCCCTGGTGGCTGGCTAGGGACAGAACCGGGGGGTTTGGAAGATCGACTCTCTCTCTTTCAAATAAATAAATTTTAAAAAGCATCGCACATTAAAATCTCCTGGAGGCTGTTTCTGAGATCCCGTGGTGCCAGCCCCCATCCACCCAGGAGATCAGAAGCTCTGGGGTGGGGGTGGGGGTGGGGGTGGCCAGGGGTCAGCGGTTTTTGGAAGCTCCGCTGAAGCTCCAGCGCTGAGAGCTGCTCCCCTAAGAGCTGCAAAGCGGAGGCGCCCGGGGAACGCAGCATGCGGGCGGTGCCAACCCATAAATCACGTGTGAGGAGGGGCGATGACTAATTTGATTCATTTGGGGAAATATTCAACGTCAGCTTCCACGAAAAGGACTCTCCTTTCTCATCTTTTATTTTGTTTTGTGTCCAGAGCTTGACCGAGCTGCTGGTGGTGAGCCGCCAGAGGACGGCTGAACGCAGCAGAGGGGCTGGCAACTGGTCTACAAAGCGGGCCCAGTGGCTCCTGCACCATCACTGGGCCCTGGTGCCAACGCCCCCACTATGGTTAGGACGTTCAATGCCCCCAACGGCTCTCGTGTTAACGACTCGGTTCTTAGGATGGCGCTACCGGGAGGCAGGGGAACCTTTGCAGGTGGTCTAGCAGGAGGCCCTTTGGGCACACCCCATGCCCTTGGGAGGTGGGTCTCCAGCAGAGTTGTTAGGGCAGCCTGTGTTTGAACCCATCCAGTCTCCTTCTGCTCCGGGTTGAGTTGTGTCCTTTTGTGCCCGTGTCCGCCACTCCCTGTCCCTTGCGATGTGATGCTCTGTGCCACCTTGGAACTCCACCAGAAGAACAGCGTCTCCAAAGGCTGAACAAACAGGGTCTGCCTGAGCTTAGACTGTGAGCTCCAGAACCATGAGCCAGGGTCAACCTCTCTCCTCTATAAAGCCTGCCTGGACGAGGTTCTCAGAAGCCGAGTCTGCCCCAGCAGGTGGAATTTTCCAATGGGGTTCTAGAAATAAGCCTTACTCTTGGATTCTCCAGTAATTCCTCCATGGTCAAGCAGGAAGGACAGGCCACCGAGTTAAGCTCCCTGGCGACTGGTTAAAGGGCCATGGGCTTTGGTTGCTAGGGGTCTCTCTAAGGACGAGGCAAACTCGTGGGCTGCTGTGTATGATTTAGATGTTGAAGAATTCACGAAACCTGGAATGAGTTAGTCTGGAGCATCTTCAAGCTACCAGGAAAGGGGAAAAACCATCTGCGGCTCTCTTCGCAGCTCTGTGATATTCGGGGTGTGTTGACTTTACAAAACCCCAGTGCTAGGACGAGCTAAGCTGCACGCTGCACAGGCTCGCCAGCGTGATGCGAGCGGGAAAACTCGGCTGTCCTCCAAAGGAGATCCTAGAAGCTTCCATGACCTCACTAAAGGGCCAGGCCCAGGAACGAAACTCCAGACAGAGAAGCATAGCAGGGGAAAAACAGATTTCTGCTTTATCTGGAGACCAGAAAAATTCCAAGAGCATGGAATAGTGTGAGTATCAGCAGGCACCATCAGATTTTAAATTGTGGCTTTGGACTGAGTTCAGAGACCTGGATCTGGGCCTGGCTCAGCTGGATTACGAAGTCCCAGAAGGCACCAGGTTCTACAGAGATGCAAGCGTGATCCCCGGATGTTGAGAGCGCCTGGGGTCTTCCGTCTGCACCGGCTCCCATTTCTCTCGGGGATAGCCCAGGCTCTGCCCAGGGCCCGCGCGGGGCTGTGGGATTTGGCCCCAGTGCCTGTCTGAGCCCTTCCACACGCTCTCGGCCCTTGGTTGGTTCTGGACAGCGCCAGGCACACTCGGAGCCTTTGTTGCAGGCTGCACCCTCTGCCGAGTGCTCCCTCCCAGCTGTCCCCTCCGCCATCACCCTCATCTCCGTCACATCGGTCACCTCTCAGCGAAGCCTTGCCTGACCACCCTGATGCCCTCACTGAGTTAGGGGTAGGGTTCCCATGTGTCTGAGCTCCCATCAGACTGTGAGCCATCAAGGTTCCCAACCCCTCAAGTTCAAGCTCATTAACAGAGGTACAGAAAAAAAAATAACCCATTCCAAATAAGCAAGTGGGGAGAAGGAAACTTTCCCCTTAAGAGGCACGGGCTGCAGTTTGGGAGGTGACCTGGGCAGGCAGGGAAGGTCTGAGACTTTGACTTGAGGGGAAGATTGCTGCCCAATGGCCTTGAGTCACCGAGGGCTCAGGCCGCCGGGTGAGCCACGTGCACACTTGCCCTGAGGTCAGAGGGCTGCAGAATGAGACGGGCTCAGGGGGCTTCACCCCAGGGTGAGTCAGTGAGCTTCCCACTCGGGGGAGGGTGGCCCACAGCTTCCATGTCACAAGGGTCTCAGGTCTCCCCCCAGAGATGGCAGCATAGCGAAACAGCCCATTCCTTAGGGGGCTAAGTGAGGCAGCCCCCACTCATTCAGGCAGGAAAAGCTCGCAGGTTTTATCGGCAAACAGAACTACGCTGGTGGAGCAGCAGCTTCTATCACACAGAGGTGGGGGTGGGGCAGTCTTCATCTTCCCACCGCATGACGTCATGACACAATGAGATAGCTCTGACGCTGTAGAATTCTGCCGAGTGCATCCATAGATCCTATGTGAGATGGCGCTGTGTGTGGTCTCCATGAATGTGGCAGAGTCCACATTCACAGGCGGTTAAAGTCTAAATGCCTCTGCCATGGTTGTCTTAGGAGCTTAGGCTTTGGCTCAAGAAATTTTTTTTAAAGATTTATTTATTTGAAAGGCAGAGTTGCAGAGAGGCAGAGACGAGAGAGAGAGAGAGAGAGAGAGAGATCTTCCATCTATCCGATTCAGCTCTCTGCTATGGCCTGGGAAGGTAGTAGAGGATGGCTCAAGTCCTTGGGCCCCTGCACCTGCATGAAAGATCTGGAAGAAGCTCCCGGCCCCTGGCTCCTGGCTTTGGATCAGCTCTGCTTCAGCCATGGCAGCCATTTGGGGAGTGAACCAGCGGATGGAAGACCTCTCTCTCTCTCTCTCTCTGCCTCTCTGTAACTCTGCCTTTCAAATAATAAATAAATACATCTTGTTTTTAAAAAGTGACCTTGCTGTCCCTCCATCAAGAGGCCGGATCTGGCCGGCGCCGCGGCTCACTAGGCTAATCCTCCGCCTTGCGGCGCCGGCACACCGGGTTCTAGTCCCGGTCGGCGCGCCGGATTCTGTCCTGGTTGCCCCTCTTCCAGGCCAGCTCTCTGCTGTGGCCAGGGAGTGCAGTGGAGGATGGCCCAAGTGCTTGGGCCCTGCACCCCATGGGAGACCAGGATAAGTACCTGGCTCCTGCCATCGGATCAGCGCGGTGCACCGGCCGCAGCGCTCTGACTGCGGCGGCCATTGGAGGGTGAACCAACGGCAAAGGAAGACCTTTCTCTCTGTCTCTCTCTCTCACTGTCCACTCTGCCTGTCAAAAAAAAAAAAAAAAAAAAAAAAAAAGAGGCCGGATCCGTCTCTCTGCCACCTCAATCTGGCCTGGCCTTCGTCACGTGCCTGTAGAATGGGGCAGAAATCTCACTCTGGGACTTGGAGGCTGGGTCACCGGTGGTCTCCAGGACCTGCCGAGGACTCTTGGGAAGCTCCTTCTGGGGACAAATCCCTCTCAGAACCCAGTTGCCGCACTTGGAAAACCAAGCCACAGGACCATGTGTGGATGCTCAGCTCATCCATCGCCCACAGCCGGCACCAGCTGTCAGCCACACGCAAGCGCCATCTTGGACGCACAGTGCATACCAAGCTTCGGATGACAAGAGCCCCAGCTGGCACCAGCCCACGACCACATGAAAGGGCCCAAGAGGTAGCCAGCAGAGCCCAGCTAACCCCCGGAGCCTGGAGGGGTTCCTACATTTTGTTACATAGTAACAGGGAGCTAGAAATGGGCATATATATATATATATATATATACTTTTTTTTTACCGAGCAAATTCTATGCCAAATGCTGTCCGGGTCTCCGTTCCTCCTCTCTGCTCGATGTGGCTGGCAGCTTCCACCACGTCCTTCACAGACTTGTAGTCATTGAGGTGGAACTCATGGACCGCGTCTTCCCCGTACTGCACAACTCCAACCTGCAGATCAGACGAGAGCAGGGCAGAGCATCCGGGCACCTGGAGACGCCTTGAGATGAGGACCGCCCCCCGCCCGGGGTGGGGGTGGGGCTGTTTCCCTGTCTCTGACGATTCATGAGCCAGGAGGGCTGAGGGCCTTTCCAAGACGGTGACTACAGGGGAAAGTTCCCAGGAGGAATCGATGGCTTGTTGGGACCAGTGGAGAGTGTGTGTGTATGAAGGCGCGCTCACAGCTCATGGATGGACAGGGGCTTGTTGCAGTGGTTAGCTGGTCTCTTGGGACGCCTGCTCTCCCTGTTGGAGGGCCTGGTTTGAGTCCCGGCTCCTCCTCTGACCCCAGCTTCCTGCTAATGCACACCCTGGAAGGCTGCAGGTGATGGCTCAAAGTACTTGGATCTCTTCCACCCACCTGGGAGATCCAGATTGAATTCTGGCTCCTGGCTGCAGCCCCAGCTGTTGTAGGCATTTGGAATGTGAACCAGCAGATAGGAGCTGTGTCTTTCTGTCTGTCTCTCTCTGTCTTTCAAATAAATTAAAACCAGGGGCTGGCGCTGTGGCGCAGTAGGTTAATCCTCCGCCTGCAATGCCAGCATCCCATATGGGGGCTGGTTCGAGTCCCGGCTACTCCACTTCCGATCCAGCTCTCTGCTATGGCCTGGGAAAGCAGTAGAAGATGGCCCAAGTGCCTGGGCCCCTGCACCCACATGGAGACCAGGAAAAAGCACCTGGCTCCTGGCTTTGGATCGGCGCATCTCCCGCCATTGCGGCCATCTGTGGAGTGAACCAATGGAAGGAAGACCTTTCTCTCTATCTCTCCCTCTCACTGTCTGTAACTCTACCTCTCAAATAAATAAATAAATAATCTTTAAAATAAATAATAAGATAAATAAATAAATAAATCAGTCAAAACTTTAAAAAGGTTCATGGAAGATAAGTTCATTTTAGTACAAAAACATTTTGAAACACATGCATGCAAACGAGGCATTTTCAGACAATTCAAGAGAAATGTGTATTATAAAAAAAAAGCTATACTTGGGGTTTGCATTGTGGCAGAGTAAAACCTGCAGCACTGGCATCCCAAGTGGGTGCTGATCTGAGTCCTGGCTGCTTCATTTCTTTCTCTCTCTTTCTCTCTCTCTCTTTTTAAAATATTTTTTGGAGCTTACTTCAATTTTTTCCTCCAAGATTTGTTTATTTGAAAGGTAGAGTTACAGAGAAGCAGAAGCAGAGCGGGGGGCGGGTGTCTTCTGCTGGTTTGCTCCCCAAATGACTGCAATGGCTGGAGCTGGGCAGATCTGAAGCCAGGAGTCAGGAGCTTCTTCCGTGTCTCCCATGTGGGTGCAGGGGCCCAAGGACTTGGGTCATCTTCTACTGCTTTTCCAGGCCATGGCAGAGAGCTAGATCGGAAGTAGAACAGCCGGGACTTGAACCGGCGCCCATATGGGATCCTGGCACTGCAGGCGGCAGCTTTATCCACTATGCCACAGTGCTGGCCCCTGCTCCGCTTCTGGTCACTGCAGCCATCTGTGGAGTGAACCAGCAGATGGAAGATCTCACTTTCTCTCTCTCTGCCTCTCTCTATGTAACTCTGACTTTCAAGCAAATAAATACAACTTTTAAAAAAATCTGTAGGTGGATTTCAATTTATTTTGCACCACAATAAACTTGTCTTTAAAATCCATTTTCCATGAGCTTTTTGAAGTCTCCTGATAGAGAAGGGAGACTTTGTGATTTAACAGAAGGCCGAGTGGGTTATGTTTCTTTCCTAGAAAGAGAGAAGTCAAGGAGAACGTGGAAGTCTGAAATTTCAGGAACTGTGTCGGTGGGACGCACAAGGTTCAGGCCAAGCCCTGATCGAAAGGCTCCTTAAGTTTTGGAAGAGACGAGATCCTTCTATCCCCGAAGCCGATCAAGTGTCAGTAGCATCAGCTGCTTCCAAGTAAACAGAAACCGTCAAGCCGGGAGTCGGGATAGGACAAGAGCTGTGGCCGTCAGAATGCACACGGGCCAGGCGCCCTTCTGTGGCTGGACCCTCAGCCAGGAGGCCCTGAGCGTGCCTCCCAGGGGGGATGCCTTACGTCACCAGTGAGTCTACCTTCTTTTTTTCTTTTTAAATTTTTATTTATTTATTTGAGAAGTAGAGTTACAGACAGAGAGAAAGGTCTTCCATGTGCTGGTTCACTCTCCAGATGGCTGCAATGACTGGAGCTGGGCCTCTGAAGCCAGGAGCCAGGAGCTTTTTCCAGGTCTCCCACATGGGGGCAGTGGCCCAAGGACTTGGACCATCCTCTGCTGCTTTCCTAGGCCACAGCAGAGAGCTGGATTGGAAGCAGAGCAGCCGGGACTAGAACCGGCATCCATATGGGATGCCAGCACTGCAGGCAGAGGATTAACCTACTGTGCCACAGTGCCAGCCCACACTCTCTTCTTAATAACTCTAATTGGTCCAAGTGATTTCTTAGATTGTCTTGGAATCTGCCACCTCGCATGAAACATCTCTTCCCTGGTCCTTGTTTAGCCAAAACATGGAAAACTTTTTAAAAAAATTTTTTTTATTTTATTTTATGACAGGCAGAGTGGACAGTGAGAGAGAGAGATAGAGAAAAAGGTCCTCCTTTTCCATTGGTTCACCCCACAATGGCCGCTGTGGCCAGCGCACTGCGCTGATCCGAAGCCAGGAGCCAGGTGCCTCCTCCTGGTCTCCCATGCGGGTGCAGGGCCTAAGCACTTGGGCCATCCTCCACTGCACTCCTGGGCCACAGCAGAGAGCTGGACAGGAAGAGGAGCAACCGGGACAGAATCTGGTGCTAGAACCCGGGGTGCCGGCACTGCAGGCAGAGGATTAGCCTATTGAGCCGCGGCGCCGGCCCAAAATAGGGAAAACTTGAACCCTCTTCAGACAGGCTGTGTTTCAAATGTTACCACCTCCCTAGCCTTCTCGGCGAGATCAATCAGCTCCTTGCTGTGCCCCCCAGAGACGGGTGTGTGGGTACCATCGCCTGTGCCTTTTCAGTGCACGTATCTGCCTGGGGCTGGGGGTGGGGGTACGGTCCCGTTCAGACGGAGCCGGAAGAGCCCCGGAGGGAGGACTCACCTGGATCTGCCCAGGGCCGATGTAGAACTTCTTGAGGATGTTGATGAGGAAGTGCTGGACCTCCACCCAGGGGTAGATGCTGTTGGAGCCATCCAGGACAATGACGATGTCCATGTAGGTCTGGCACCCTGGGAAGTGGGGACAGGGTCATGGCTACCTGGCGAGCCACTGTCTGCAAGTCTCGGCTGCTTCAGGAGATTAGGGAAAAGCATGATGCTAAACCTGGGAGATCCCCCAGGCCAGGGAGCCTCTTGGGCTGGGCGTTTACTTGGGCAACATGAAAGATGAGCCCAGGGGTTCCTGGTTCGGTTCCCCCACTCCACTGGCCGTCTGCACGCGGCTGAAATTAAGCCTGAGCATCTCTGCTCCCAAGCAGGCGCGGACTGCCAGTCACTGGTCAGTTCTGAGGCCCCATCGGACCGTGGTGTCATTTGTTTTGCTGTAACAAGTGGGCTGGCATTGATCATTTTCCTCCTGAATGAATGCACCTTGCTTTTTCTGAGGGGGCACGGAGTAATGGCCGGGGGCATGGAACCTGGCATCCCACCTTCTGCCTCCTGGCTTTGCCACACCTTTGCTATGTAACCAGGGCTGCCATTTAGCTCTCTGCCACAGTGATCTGTTCAGCGCAGAGGCAGGGTTAGGGGCAGCTGTCACGAGGAACTAATGCGAAGATGCTTCTAAGTGGCGGTGCACAAAGCGACGGCTCCAACAAGCTCAGCCCAGGCCATTTTCAAGTCTTTTAGAGCAAACCGCCCAGGTCAGTGGCTCTGACATCATCAGGTCGAGCCTTTATCTCTGCTCTGAACAGCAAAGCTTCTCTATATCTTTGTAATAACAATACCCAATTAAAAGGGACAACAAAAATCAAGCAAGAAAACTAATCAAAGGCTGATAACCACAACAAACATAAAAGAAATCTCATCTAAGGACTAAGCAAGTTCTGTTTGCCAATGCCCCCGAGCTGTGTCTGGCCTCTGCTTATTTTCCTGGAGGATTTTCCTTCTGCTACACACAAGGCTGCGGGGAGCCCTCTGTGTGGCAGCCACGCCCCCAAGGCTTGCCCCACCGAGGGACTGGGTGTTGGAGTCAGCCCTCCCTCACTGGAAGGCGCTCAGCCACGCAACTGCTCCCACTGCGCCCCGTGTATACGGTGTGTGTCCGGCAGGTCTGCCCTGTCGCAGGCGGGTTCAGCTCAACACCCGTGGACTGAGTGCCTCCTCTCGCTCCAGGGACTCTGCAAGCTGCAGGCAGCCAGGGGCGACCCAGACAGAAACGCCTTTATTCGGGGGAATGTATGACCTGGTGGAGGGGCCGGGCCTCTCATTTATATGCATGCTTTACTGTTCAAATGCATGCATTGTTGCTGATTTCTTCCTCCCAATTTCAGACTTTTCTTTTGAAGACACCTCGGGAAGAACCTGGCTTTGGGTCTGTGGTTCCTAAGCGCGACCGGACACTTCCAGGGGGAACTCACGCCCACACAAGCACACATGTGTGCACACACATGAACTCACACATTTGCATGCACGTGCACACACACATACGCACACGCACACGCTCGCTCTTAGGGCCACGGGGAGCACCGTGGAGCCTGCGCTTGGGCAGCTCATGGCAGGGGAGTCCTGCAGCAGAACAGGTTGAGGGAGCCGTTGACGGCCCCATCTTAGCCCGTGAGCACCACTTTCCAGCCCCTGCTGCACGACGCTTGCTCCGCCTCCCTCCCCCAAGCCCCGCCCCGGCACCGCTGACTGGGCCTGTTGTTCGGAGGTGCTAATCCCCTTGCTCTCCATAAAACGGGCAGCAGCGGCTGGGGTGATGGTGCTCAGCCCGGAGACACGGGGAGGCTCCGAGCCAGGACGTCTGGGCTTTGGGAGGCACGGCCTCAGCGTGCGTTTCCCAGGTTTTCTTGGTGGGTGGTGAGGGGGAGGTTTTGTGACCCAGGAGGCTCTGAGCAAGCTGGGAAGAACTCCCTGGAGCAGGAGCACTGGCTGGGTGGCCTACATCTACAGGGCCCTGCATAGCATCAGGAGCACCACTCACACTATAGTCTAAGTGAATGATGCTTCTAGAATTGTGAGTGCACAGCCTGGCTGCTGTACCTGCTGACCTTGTGGGTTTTCCCTGTGAGCCTTCTTTGATGCCAGGATTGTCCTGCCAACCTTAGCTCGTTTGCTCTCCACCATCACATGGGGCAGAGGGTGGCCAGGGTGAGGGCCTCCACAGAAGCCCAGAGAGGGGAAGCGACTCTTGCAGGGTGTTCCAGATTGCTGGGCAGGGCAGGGCTGATGTCCCAATCCTGCTTTGTAGCCACAGGAGAGCAGCGATCACAGCCCCGAGCCCCTCCGTACTGTCCAGCGCTCAGCCCCACCCTGCGGAGTCGGAGCCACTTACTTTGCAGGGCCGGGGCCACGGTCTTGGAGAACCGGAAGTTGGAGTTGACTCGCGAGCACATCCCCGTGGTGTAGTAGGAGCTGCCACACTCGTGAGACCAGAGCGGGCTGCAGGCCTGCGAAGCACAGTGCAGACCCCCGGTCAGCGGGGTGGGGGTGGGGCCTGTGGGGGGGTGGGCTCAGGCCCACTGGCCTGCAGCCCATCCCCAAGCTCCACTCCCCAGGTGGACCTCCTGTGAGTGAGCGCTGAGGGTCTTCCCTGAGCCTGCCTCAAGCCTCCCTTGTCCCGTGCCCAGGCCCCTTGGTGTCAGGTGTGAGGGGGGTGGCTGGTCTTGGGGTCCCCTTGTGCCATTTCCCCGAGGCCCCATTTAGGGCTGTGGGGCTCCTTCATCCCCCAGTCCCCTTTCTGTCCATGGCAGTGACCGTCCCAGGGTCCCCAGAACAGCTTCTTGGGTTGAAGGGCTCCTGACTGTCCTTATTGGAAAAACTCCCAGGACAGAGGCCCAACCCCCTGCTGTGGCCCTTCTTAGGAAATGAAGGCAGAAAGCCTCTTTGCCTGTGAACTTGGCTACCAAAAACATGGATGTCGGCCCCTTGTTCGGGGGTTGAGTGATGAGCTCCTATGGCGGAGTCGTTGAGTCGGAAGCCCAGCTCCAGGCCTCCTGTTTGCCCTCCTGCCAGAAGCCCAGGGTTGAGTCTGGCTCTGTGGTTTCGTTTGGTTTCAGGGAGTAATTATTCTACTCCCAAACCCTGTCTTTAACTAGCTCCCTTTTTTCTTTTTCACCTTGATCTCAAAGACTGTGTTTTATTTGTGTCCTTTGTTGAAGTTCCTCTAAATTATTTTCGGAAGTGGGGGAGAATAAAGAATGGCTAGATCAGTGGAGAGGGATGGATGGGCAGGTGGGGGGATGGATGGGTGGGTGGGTGGACGGGTGAGTGGCTGGGTACATGGATAATTAGAAGAGAGGATTGGGGCTGGCGCTGTGGCACAGTGGGTTAACGCCCTGGCCTGAAGCACTGGCATCCCATATGGGCGCTGGTTCTAGTCCCAGCTGCTCCACTTCTGATCCAGCTCTCTGCTGTGGCCTGGGAAAGCAGTGGAAGATGGCCCAGGTCCTTGGGCTCCTGCACCTGCGTGGGAGACCTGGAAGAAGCTCCAGGCTCCTGGCTTCGGATTGGTGCAGCTCTGGCCATTGCGGCCATCTGAGGAGTGAACCAGCAGATGGAAGACCTCTCTCTCTCTCTCTCTCTGCCTCTCCTTCTCTCTCTGTGTAACTCTGACTTTCAAATAAATAAAAATAAATCTTTAAAAAAAAGAAGGGAGGATGATGGATGGATGGATGACGGATGAATGGATGGGTGCATGGATGGATGAGTGCATAGATGGGTAGATGGATAGTTAGAAGGGAGGGTGATGGATGGATGACTAATGGATAGATGGGTAGGCAGATGGATGGATGGATTGGTGGGTGGATACATGCATGGATGGATGGACAGATAGATGGATGGATGGGTAGGTGGATATACATATGGATGTATGGTAAATGGATGAGCAGGTGGATGGTTGGATGACTGGATAATTGGTTGGGAGGATGATGGATAGGTGGATGATGGGTGGGTAATGATTGAATTGGAAGATGAGTAGATGGACTATTCGTAGACAGATGATGTATTGGATGAATGACTGGATGGATGGATGACTGGGGGGATGGATGACTGGGGGACTGACTGCTGAATGAGTCAGTTACTAGGCGGGTGAATGAGTGAGTGAGCTAACAGAGGCCGTTACTATGAACCAGGAATCAGCCTCACAGAGGTCCTAGCGGACGCCTCTTGAGCCTTCCTGTGCTCTGTGAAGTAGCTGACGTCAGGTTATAGGGAATGTGGCAAGGAGATTCCGTGGGAAAGGGGCCAGGGACAAAGGCCTGGTGGATGTGGACATGGATGGGGCCAGGGTTCCTGCCCCGCCGTGGACTGGGGAGGAGGAAGGGCCATGGGCTGAGCACACAGGTCACCTTCTAGGTGTGGCCCTGGAAGCACACGGTGTCCTCAAGTCCCCATGAGCCCCATCCCCTTGGCCTGGGGTCTGCGGCTCCAGGCCCTGTTGAGTTTCATCTTCTGCCGAAAGGGATTGAAGGACAAGAGTGAGGAGTGGGTGGCGCGAGCCTCCGTGTGAGGATGGGTGGTGCTTTGCATTGCGCTTTCTGGGACGGTTTTCTCTCGCGGCTGTTTTGAGGAACCGCCAGCCCCAGCAGGGTTGTGCTGGAAGCCTCACGCTCAGGGCGGTTCTCACCGGCACAGTGACCTGAGCAGGCAGTGCCGAGGGATGCGGCTGCCCCCGCCCCTGCACCTGCAGTGTGCCCAGGCTGCCAAGTCGCCCCTGCTCACTTTAGACATCACTCATTTGCCATCGTCTCTGTCCCAGCCAGAGGGTGGGTCCCAGCAGGGCGGGCGCTCCGTGCACTGGGATGAACACACACTGGGTGTTGAAAACCCACTGGCTGTTTAAAGAGACAAGTGCTTCTACCCCTTCCTCCCTTTCCTCTGCCCCAGAAACCCAGCTTCCCAGGGGCAGGGGTCGCACCCCCTCCCCATTATTATCTTCATTCCTTCTTGTCCCTTTTCTGGCTGTCCCCAGAGGCCCCCCCCACACACACACACAACAGGGCATGGGCGCAAAAGGGCTCAATCCTTTTCTTGCCAGGGCCTGGGCATCCAGAATGGCAAAAGCAAGGGGCATGCGGAAGAGCCGCTTGCGGGAGCCCTGGGGCTGGCAGCCCGTGGAGGGGCACGTGTGAGGGGCAACGTCACCCCGCCCCCCGCTCTCTGGACCCTGCGCTTACCAGGAAACTGTTGTCCTTGGGGTTGGTGGCAAGGCTGAGGCCCAGGCGCATGTTGTCCTTCCGCTCGGACACGTTGGACAGGGTCACCCTTCCTGGGGGTGGGGCGAGAAGCTCAGCCTGGTCCCCGCTGCCTGCCCCCCACCACCCAGGGTGCCCGCAGCAGGGCTGGGGCTGGGCAGTGCCGGCCCTGATTCTCCGCCCCTCCGGGGCTTGTTATGTGAGTGTGTGACAGCAGGGTGCAAAGCCAGAGTGTGCCAGTCCCGACCTGCCGCCAGGAGAACCCAGCTCTTCTCATGGGGGTGGGGCAGGGAGCCTCAGCCCAGCCTGGTTCACCCTCTGCCCGCGGCTGCAGGAGCTTTCTGGAGGCTGGAGGTGGTGGCCTGGCTTCCATGGGTGCAGGAGCAGAGGCCAGAATCCCGAATGCAGGGTAGCTGGGTGGGCTGGGGGTGGGGCGGCTGCATTTGTTGTTTGCCCCTGGGAGCTCCCTCAGTTTTCCCAGTGGCTCCCTTTGGACCCAGCAGCCCTTAGCCTGGCCCTGGATCCCATGACCACCCCAGCCCCCGCCCCTCCTTTAAAACCCCGACTTCCTCCAGATATAGAGAAGAAGGTCTCCAGGGACAGGCTCTTTCATACTCAGGTGTGAATGACTGTCGCCTGCTCAGCCTTCCCCGGAGAGAGAATAGCCCTGGCGTGGGCGTGGCCTGGCGCCTGGAAAGGCTACAGGGAGCCCAGACTCTACGTTCTTGCCCTGGGGCTCAGCTGGCTGATGGGCATCCTGCCTGCATTTTCTTCCTACCCACGTGACGCTCCCCTCCCCCCCAGCCCACGCCACCGCCCCCTGCCTCCTGGGAGGACGCCCAGCTCAGAGCTGTTTCCTGGGGTCTGGTGGTGTTAGGTCTCCTCCTCCCCCTGCAGGGAAATGAGCTCCGCACTGGAAACCAGGACAAGACAGGAAAACAAAAGGATGGTTTGCTGTCCATGCCTTGCCCGGACCAGGGTGGCCTGGACCCCGAACACCACCCCTGCCTCTCCCAGCATCCTCCTGGCTCCCTCTGCTTGAACCACATGGCCCTTCCTCCTATTCTCCAACAGCAAACCTGTTCTGACCTCAGGACCTTTGCACTTGCGGCCTTCCTGTCTGCAATCTCCACCCCTTCTCACCCTTTGCTGGCGTGTTTCCTGCTCTGAGAGGCCCTCCCTGGCCCCTCCCCACCCCTCTATGCCACAGTCGCTCCGTCACAGAACCCTGGCATATTGCACAGCGTCTGTCCCCACCGCAATTATCCTGCCTCCTCATTTGTCACTTCTTGTCGCCTCCCAGCCGAGCCCTTGGCTCCCAGCAGAATTCCCTGCACGGTGTTGGGAATTCCAGGTGCTGCTCATCAGGGCTGGAGTAGAGCCAGAGGGGATCCCGGGGGTCTTGAGTCCAGCCTCCCCACTTTACACACGAGCAAACGGAGCCTCAGAGAGGGGGTGTGAGCTCCCCAGAGACACACAGCCAGGAGCCCATTCAGCTGGAAGGGAAAGCTGGTGCTCACAGAGTGGCGATGACCGTGAGCCACAGGCCACCAGCTCCCTCGGCAGCTCCTTGCTGCAGTTTGAGCCCCTACAATGCTGGGTTTCGGACTCCCACCATGTGACGCTGCACCATGTGACGGACAGCTGGCCACCCCAGGCATGGGAGTTCTTGTGACTTCCTCTAGGATGCCGGCCTTTGCAGCCCTCTGCATGCGTAGATTTTTTGAGGACTTGGCAAGCTGCAGGGTGCTCACAGCATGGCCCTACTCCCTGCCACAGAATATGCTGGAAAACGCTTCTCTTCAGCAGAGGCAAAAGCTTTGCTTCGGGAAGGCAGTGCTGTGCAGCGGTTAAGGGCTTGCGGGGACTATGGACTGGCGTCCCGGCTCTGCTACCCCAGGTGGGTGCCCCCAGGCAGGCCCCTCACCTCCACACACTGTCACTGCTGCCAGTCTCATCCAGGTGTCGTGAGATCGCAGCTGGGATGGAATGAGCCCTAAATACCTACGAGTGCGCCAACCAGCACCTGCCACATTGCACATCACCCGAGACACGTGTACGTTGGCTGCCGCTGTTACCCCAAAGCAGAAAGAAGGCAGACAGCAGCTTCCTGCGGCCTCAGGAGAAAAGCCCAAGTCAAAGGGCAGTGGAGGAGCTGGAAAGAGCAATGGCCAGGACCCTGGAGACCCGGGGTTGAGCCCTGGCCAGGCTCTGACCGGCCTGTGACTGTGGGGAAGCGGCTTCCTCATCTGTGAAGTGGGGGCAGCGCTGTGAGCTGGGATGGGGGCAGCGGGGAGGCGCCAGTGTGACCATGACCATGGATGTGGCTGGGGGGTACCCTGTCCTGGACGGGGAGGGGGGCGCACTTACCCAGGTTGAGCTTGGTGCAGTTCCCGTGCGTCACTGGACACTTGTACACGTCACCCGTCTTCTGGTGGCCATTGGTTTCCAACGGGGCACCTACCACCAGCCTGGGGAGGGAGAGAGGGTGAGCGAGGATGCTGGGGCGGGCAGTAGGGGAGCCTGGGGGAAATCCTGGTGCAGGGACCACAGGCGGTCCTTGGGAGGAAGACTGGGCATTCAGTACTCAGTCCTGGGGCTGGGGCTGGGGTCTGGGGGTTCAGGGCTGAAGAATGAAAGGGTCCTGTGATCAATGGTTTGCAGGCAAGTCTGGCAGAACAGGGGGCAGTGCTTGAATGGGACTTTTTGCCTAAAATCTGTTTTTATTTATTTCAGAAGGGAAGACAGGGAGAGAAAGAGAGAGAGAAAGAGAGAGAGAGAGAGAGAAGAGAAGAGAAGAGAGGACTTCCATCCTTTGGTTTGCTCCCCAGATGCCCATAACAGCCAGAGCCAGGCCAAAGCCAGAGCCTGGAACTCAGTCCAGGTCTCCCATGTGGCTGGCAGGGACCCAACCCCTTGAGCCATCAGCTGCCACCGCCAGGATGTGCATCAGCAGGAGGCTGGATTGGAAGCAGAGCTGGGACTCAAACCAAGCACGGCTGGTGTCCTGAGCCATGTCTGACCCATGGTGCCAAGCAAGCTGGGTCTTAACAGATGAAGACGAGTTTGTGGAATGGTAAGAGGGTGGCCACACAGTCAGCACAGGCAGAGGTGCCATGCGCTTGCGCTCGGAGCCATTCTTCTTGGCCTCACAAGGCAGGTTTCCTGCAGGTGGGTCCAGGGTGGGGCCCAGGATGGGCAAGGCAGCCCAGGAGCTAAAGAGCAGCCTGGGGCAGCCACGCAGCCGGGCCTCTGCCTCCAGCCTGAGCCTCTGTGACCTTATTTGGCAAAGGCATCTTTGCAGCTAGAATTAAGCTCACAGGTCCAGATCATCCTGGATTCTCTCGTGCACCCTACGGGCAATGCCAAGTGTCCTCCTGAGAGACTCGGGGGCGTGGAGGACCTGCAAAGACGGAGGCAGAGGCAGGGAGGAGGAGGCTGCTGGGGGTGGGGGGCAAGGCTGCCTGGAGCCACCGCAAGCCCAAGAGTCACCGAAGGCTCCGCCGGGAGCTTGGGCGGGAGCGCGCACGGCTGCGGCTTTCAGCCTCCTGGCTTGCGATCCTGGCTACAGCAGGGAACGGCTCTCACCCGCATGCAGACCTGGTCCTGCTTCTGGGGACAAGGAGCGGCCACTGCCTCCTGCGCTGGGGGTCTGAGGGAATTCCCCCTCCCTTGCCAGGGCCCCAGGCACTGTCCGTCATGCTCCAATGCTCCCTCCGTGCCCCACCCCCCTCCGCCCTGGGCCCACTGGAGGGCAGCACCCACAGGGGTGGCCTGGGGTGGTCCAAGGACACAGTGGGAGCCCCCGTGTGGCCTGAGCTGCAGCCCTTCGGTGCCCACCTGCCATCTCTCTGGCATACCTGGAAGCCCCAGGCCTTGGAATCCTGTCTGTCACACTGTGTAGGCTCGGATGGCTCATAATGACTCAGGAATGATAACCTGGGGGCCAGCGTTGTGGCTCAGTGGGCTAAGCTGCTGCCTGTGATGCTGGCATCCCATATGGGTGCCAGTTCGAGTCCTGGCTGCTCCACTTCCAATTCAGCTCCCTGCTAATGCACCTGGGAAAGCAGCAGAGGATGGCCCAAGTGCTTGGGTCCCTGCACCCACCTGGAAGACTTGGATGGAGTTTCTGGCTCCTGCCTTTGCCTTCGACTAAATAAATAAGAGAGGAAGGAAGGAAGGAAGGAAGGAAGGAAGGAAGGAAGGAAGGAAGGAAGGAAGGAAGAGAGAGACACGCAGTTTTTGCTGGGACCATGCCTCAGCCCCATAGCTCTTCTGGATTCTAAGGGATAAAGAAAAACAACCATAGAGGCTGGCGCTGCAGCTCACTAGGCTAATCCTCCGCCTGTGGCACCAGCACTCCGGGTTCTAGTCCTGGTTGGGGCACTGGACCTGTTGCTCCTCTTCCAGTCCAGCTCTCTGCTGTGCCCCGGGAAGGCAGTGCTTGGGCCCTGCACCCGCATGGGAGACCAGGAGGAAGCACCTGGCTCCTGGCTTCGGATCGGCGCAGCGCGCCAGCTGTAGCAACCATTTGGGGGTTGAACCAACGGAAGGAAGACTTTTCTCTCTGTCTCTCTCTCTCACTGTCTAACTCTGCCTGTCAAAAAACAAACAAACAAAAAACAAAACCATAGAGTTTGGGGCACAGAGACAGGTGAGACATTTGGGGAGGAACGAGGTTTCTGGAGGCCTTTAAACTCCCTTCCGGAAGCTTCTCACCACCCAGCAGCACAGCCTGGGGAAGGCACCCTTGGATGTTTCCTGCCTTCACAAGGTCAAGTGGAACCAACCCAGGAAGGAGGCTGAGGACTCCCGTGGCCCCTGCAGCCCCGCCCCCACCCCGCCCCGCCCACCTCGGCGGGGTCAGGAGAGGGAGCCAGGGCTGAGCGGCAAGTGAACGGAGCTCTGTTTGAAATTAAGAGTGTGTGAAATCAGAGCTGAGCTTTCTCCCCCGGGGAGCCAGATAATGACAGATTCTAAAAATAGCCCCCTATTAAGCACGCCTAGTTTTGACTGGCAGGAATTAATTGGTCCCATAAAATCGGTTTGTCTAGACGGACGTGAATGTTGACTACTTGGTTCTGCGAGCCATGGTGTGGTCAGGGCTGCTTCATTTTTTCCAGCCAGAAAGAGAGGGAGAGGAGGGAGGAGAGAGAGAAAGAGAGAGAGAAGGGAGAAAGAGAGAGAGAGAGAAAGGGAGAGAGAGGTTGGTCAGTGAGTAAGGGGGCCTGGAACTCCCTGCTTGCTTTCTGGTGCCCGGGGTCTGTGGTATGGGGCCACGTGTCCCCGAGGCGCCCCCTGGTGGACACCGATGCTGCCTGGGGCGGTGCGCCCTGGAAGAGGTGGGTATCTTTGGGGTGCCCCCTCACTGGGTGCCTTTGGGAGAATCAGGCATGGAACATTCCAGATTAGATGACCATGGCCATGTTCTAGAACAGCTTTCCCCATGTGTCCTGTAGAAAACCCCAGAGCCTGACATGGGCAGATGCCCCGCAGCCCGTCCCGTCTCACAGAGGACAGCCCTGAGGCCCCAGGGGCCTACTTGGAGGGGCACCCGGGGGATGGAGAGATCCTTGGCTCAGGCACAGAGCTGGGTCCTCGTCCTGGTTCTGTCACCAGCCGGCTGTGTGACCTTGAGACGTCATTTACTTTTCCAACACTTGCTTTTCTTGGCCGTGGAATGGGTTGACTATCCCTGCCTCCAAGGGCCACTGTGGAAGGTCACAGATGATAAAATCTTTGGGAAACAGGAAGGGCCACACCTAGGCGAGCGATGCAGGAAGATGGGTGGCTTCCCAGAGGTCAGGTGCCCTGGCCGTGACCAAGATGGGACGGATGGGCAGCCAGTCCACTGGGCCGCTGCGACCCTGAAGCCACAGAGAGCCTGGGCTGTGTCTTCTTCAAAGGCCGGGAGCTGTCCCTACTTCCCACCTCCATCCTCCAAGCCCTCCTTCCCCTGGGGGTCCTTGGCACTTATGTCCCCATAATATGGATGCAGAAACTGAGGTCCCAAACAGAGGAGCTGCCGCAGGTCCCTGGATGGCACGGCGTCCCCTGTGTTGCCCCAAAGTGCTCTGTGCCAAGAAGGGAGCCCCGGGCCAGTGGCCTCCGCTCTCGGGTCTGGGCATGACGTGTGCCTGTCGGCTTGAGGTTTCGAGGGTATGTATGATTCAGTCGCACTCCGGGCCGATAACTGCCGAAGCACAGGGAAAATGTTCACGTCACCCCCCGGCGCAGCCAAATTGTTCCTGGGGTCTGGCAGCCCCGCCACCCACTGTGGCCGGGGTGCTCGCGGGGCTGGATACTCAATCCCTCCTGGCGTAGGAGGTCCTCGTGGCGGGTGCGGGGGCCCCCTCCGCGGCTGTGCGCGTTAGTCACCGGCTGCGGGCTCCCGGCATTCCTCCTGTGGGGCCCAGGCAGCAGGGCTGCGGCTGCCGGCATTTCAGCCACAGCCTCGGAGGAGCCTGGCCCGCAGGCCGCTCTCTAAGCAGGGTCCCGCGAGGGAGGCCGGCTGGGGAAGGCTGGACATGGCCCTCTGGCTCCCAGCAGGCTCTGGGCTAAGGGAAGGGGCTGTTGGCTCCTGGCTACTCCCCCCCCCACCCCAACCAGGCTCTGGGGCAGGGCTGGGGAACCTTCTCTCTGCCCAGGGCTGGCTGGATATTTACGGCATCCTTCGCGGGCCATACAAAACCATCAACTTAAAAAAAAATCAGCTTGCCAGAGAGTCACTGAGTTTCGAGGCCCACTTGCAGTGGCCTTCGCAGAGCCAGACCAAACCGGTTTCACGGACCTTATGTGGCTCACGGGCCGAATGTCCCCATCCCCCACTCCGCGGAACTCAGCCTGAATTCTGCTTCCCCCTAGCTCCACCCTTCAAGGCACTTTGGGTCCCCTAAGCTTAAAACTGCAAAATCCATCAGTAAAAATGGACACAGGCACCCCTCCCATTAGCATGGTAGAATCTACGAGTACATTATGTCAGGACACAACTGTCATTAGTGGATTCAATATTAGTCATCTTAGGTTTTTTTGTTTGTTTGTTTGTTTGTTTGTTTTTTTACATATAAACTTAAATAGAACCTGATCAGTTTATTTCTGTGCCCCAGTCTATTGTCTGGCAAATCCCCTGTGGTGTGCATACCCCACCCTGGAGATCATCCTTTACTGTGCAGCGCAAATTCCCACCTGCTCCAGGAAGCCCTCCCTGACTGCCCCAGGCTTCCCCACGTTAACCAGCATGCCATCCCTGCCGCTGGTGTGGCCTGTGTTGCGGCATCTGCATTTCCTGGGGGCTAAGACATCCTGGTCTGCCCTGTGGGGCTGGGTGGTCCTGAAGCCACCGCGGCTGCTCTGAGCTTGCGTCTGATTGTCTGCCGCGGAGGCTTTGGGTTTACCCCAGATCTAGGTGGAGCCCCCAGATCAGCACCCAGGAAAAGGGCTTCTGAAAAACAGCCTCTTGGGTGCACAGAGG